CAGACGCGGCAGACGCGTGTCCTCCCGCCCGGGTGGCCCGGCGCTGGCGGTGGCCGGGCGCGTGGTGGTGTGTCGAGTGGTAGCTCTGGGGGCGGGCGCTGTCAGTACCAGATCCTGACCGGTCCTCGCCGCGGCTTCGTTTGCGGTAAGATCGGTCACTCCACTCCCCGCTGTTTTCGTCGCCTGGACGACCTCTTTCGTCAGCGCTTCGGCCCGTCGCCAGACCTCCCGGACTGGCACAGTTTGCTTAGTCGTAAGATTCAGATCTTTGATATGGACATGGATGCCATTGTTTTTGCTCTGCGTGTGATGTATGCTGATGACTCTAGTGTGCTTCCCGCTTATTACTCACTGTTGCCTAGTGTAGGTGTGCCTAGTGTACCCTCCCCTGCTGCGTCAGGCGTAGGATCCTCTGCTTTGTGTAGTCTTGGTGCTTCCGCCGTCGTTCCGTCGCCAGACGCCTCTGCTTCGCTTTCCTTCACCTTGGACTCTGGCGCTTCTCGGTGTTTCTTCCGCGACTCCACCACCCTGACGCCGCTTCCCGTCCCTGCTGCCGTTTCTCTCGCTGACCCCTCCGGCGGTCCGGTAGTCGCCCGCAGTTCCACCACCCTTCCCTGTCCGGCGGTTCCTTCGGGCTCTCTTACAGGTCTGCATATCCCCTCGTTCTCCAGGAACCTAGTTGGTGTCGGCTGCCTCCAGGACCTTGGCGTCACCACTACGTTCCCTGGTCACGAGCGGTATGCTGTCTGTACCGAGGCCTCCACTGGTGCCCCCTTGTCCACGTTCCCCCGGGACTCGGTGTCCGGCCTGTTCACTCTGGACACCGTGACCCCCCTGGCTGGAGCGCTCACCCAGGTTGCTGCCGCCTGCTCCTGTCGGTCCCTCACTCACCCGACCCTCCTTTGGCACCACCGCCTAGGTCACCCTGCGCTCCAGCATCTGCGTCACATGTCCCAGCACGGTCTTGTCCTTGGTCTCCCAGGTTCTCTCCCTGCGTTTCCCTCCTCCCCAGCCCCACCTTGCACGCCTTGTGTCGAGGGTCGGCTTCGCCGTGCCCCTCACTCCTCCTCGTTTCCCCCTACCGCCGCGCCGTTGCAGACCCTGCACCTGGACGTATGGGGCCCCGCCCCTGTCCCTGGGCCGCGTCTAGAGCGCTACTTCCTTGTGCTTGTCGACGACTTCACTCGCTACACCACAGTCTTTCCCCTGGAGCGCAAGGCCGACGTGCCTGGCGCTCTCATCCCCTGGCTTGTCTCTGCGCGTGTCCACCGCGGTCTCCCTGTCTTGCGTCTTCACTCAGACCGTGGTGGCGAGTTTGCCTCAGATGTCCTTGGTCGCTTTTGTCGTGCGGAGGGCATCACCCAGACGTTCACCCTACCGGACTCCCCACAGCAGAATGGGGTCGCTGAGCGACGCATCGGCTTGGTCATGGAGGTCGCTCGCACCTCCATGGTCCATGCCGGTGCACCCCATTTTCTGTGGCCGTTCGCTGTGCGCTACGCTTCTCACCAGCTTAACCTGTGGCCGCACCCTCAGCAGCCGCAGGTTTCGCCGACCCGTCTTTGGACTGGGTCTCCTGGTGACGCGTCTGCGTTCCACGTCTGGGGCTGCCTTGCTCACGTCCGTGCCTCCGGCACGGACAAGCTCACTGCCCGCACCCTTCCCTGCGTCTTCCTCGGTTTTCCCTTTGACGCGTCCGACTGGCACTTTTACCACCCGCCGTCTCACCGCTTCTTTCACTCTCGTGACGTCACCTTTGACGAGTCCGTCTCCTACTACCGTCGCTTCCCCCACCGTGGTCCCCCGGTTACTCCCCCCCTGTTCCTGGTCCCTCCTTCCCCGGTAGTCCCTGCCCCTCCTCCTCCTCCTCCCCGTCCCGCCCCCTCTGGTGTGTCCCACGTCACACCCCTTCCGTCGGTGGACCCGGTTGAGGAGTCTTCTGACTCTGGTGGCCCTCCTGTGCAGTCCTCGTCAGCCGCCCCTCCCCTGGTGTCCCCTCCCCAGTCCCCTCCTCCACCGCTTCTGCCGCCGCTGCAGCCGTCGTTGCCGCCGCCGCCGCCGCCGCCGCTGCCGTCGCAGCACCCGTTCGCTGACTCTGGGGGTGCTCGTCCCGGTAGCCCTGGGGGTGGTCCCTCTGGGGGTGCTGGTGTGGAGAGTGTCGGGGGTAGCCGAGGAGCAGCTAGCGGTCCCGGTGTCGCCGTTGTGCCGCCGCAGCAGCAGTCCCCGCCGGTGTCAGCCCTTCGCCTGCTGGGCCTGCCGTCCCCCGACCCTGCGTCGGTTCCTCCCCGACCGTCTCCTCCTCTTCCTGTCTACGGCCCTGTTTTCCCTCCGCCGGACTCGTCCCCGGCTCGTCTCCCCCCTCGTTCCCCTCCTGTGTCCCCTCCTCTGTCTCCTGACCCGACTCCTCCGTCGCACGTCTGGTCTCACCGTCCCTCCCGTGCTCGTCCTGTTTCGCCTGTCCTGCGCTCCCACCCTATGTTGCTTCGTTCCCACGCGTCTCGTCCTCCCCTTCTGCCGTCGCCTCCTCCTTCCTCCCTTGTTGTTGCACCCCCCCCGCTGTCTGACTACCTTCGTGCCGCTCGTCCTCTTGTTCCTCGCGTCCTTGCCTCTCTCGTTACCGACCCGTCTGCTCCGACCTCGTGCCTTGACGCCCTTGTCGCTGCTGTCGCTGACTTCGCCTCTTCCCGCCGCCTTGACTACGCCTCCGCTCTGGTCTCTGACCCTGCCTGTCCTCCGTCTGTCGGGGGTGCTTCTGCCCTTGGCAGTGACGTCCTGGAGGACCGCCAGTTCGAGCTTGCTTTCCTCTCCGAGGCTGCTCCCCATCTCTGTTCCATGCTGCTAGTCCCTGAGGGTGACCCAGACGCTTTTGACATCCCGACCCCTCGCACTTACGCTGAGGCGACCTCGGGACCCTGGGCCTCGCAGTGGATAGCTGCCATGGAGCAGGAGATGGCATCTTGGAGATCCACCGGCACCTTCGTCGACGCGGTTCCCCCGCCTGGGGTGAACGTAGTCGATGGCCGCTGGCTCTTCAAGGTGAAGCGCCCTCCTGGAGGGCCGCCTGTGTTCAAGGCGCGCTACGTGGCTAGAGGCTTCAGTCAGCGCGAGGGGGTGGACTTCTTCCAGACCTTCGCTCCGACCCCGAAGATGACTACTCTTCGGGTTCTGTTACACCTAGCTGCTCAGCGTGACTACGAGCTTCACTCCCTCGACTTCTCCACTGCTTTCCTTCAGGGCAGCGTACACGAGCAAGTCTACCTGCGCCGCCCTCAGGGCTTCACTGGTACCTTCCCTCCTGGGTTCCAGTGGCTCCTGCGGCGCCCCGTCTACGGCCTGCGCCAGGCTCTCCGTGAGCGGCACGACACTCTCCGTGCTACGCTTGCTGACCTGCAGTTCTTTCCGTCTTCCGCAGACCCTTGCCTCTTCGTTCGTGCTGGCCAGACTCCGTTCTACATCCTTGTTTACGTCGACGACCTGGTCTTTGCCACAGCAGACAGGGACGCACTGGCCTCCGTGAAGGCAGAGCTGCTGAAGAGACACACCTGCACTGACCTTGGAGAACTGCGCCGTTACCTTGGCTTGCAGATCTCCAGGGACAGAGCTGCGCGCACCATCACCCTGACTCAGTCACACTTGGTGCGCCAGGTCCTTCAGAGGTTCAGCCTTCAGTTCTCCTCTGCACAGCCCACCCCTCTGTCTGTAGACCACAGGCTCTCCGCTCCAGTGTCTGAGGAGTTGGTAGAGCCCAGCGGCCCCTACGCAGAGCTGGTGGGTTGCCTCATGTACCTGATGACTTGCACTCGCCCAGATCTCGCATACCCTCTCAGCATCCTGGCTCGTTTTGTGGCCACAGGCAGACACCGACCGCAGCACTGGTCTGCCGCTAAGAGGGTTTTGCGTTATCTTGCTAGTACATCGGGCATGGGGTTAGTGCTAGGAGGACGCAGGCCAGTGGTCCTTACTGGACACACAGACGCTTCGTGGGCAGACGACGCTGAGACACTCAGGTCTACCCAGGGCTACTGCTTCAGCCTTGGCTCAGGTGCCGTCTCGTGGAGAGCTACTCGCTCCTCGTCTGTGGCGCAGTCCAGCTGTGAGGCTGAGATCTACGCTGGTGCCATGGCGGCACAGGAGCTCTGCTAGCTGACCTTCTTGCTCACTGACTTAGGTGAGCGGCCTAGCTCTGCCCCGGTCCTGTTCGCTGACAACAGGGCCATGATCCTCCTGTGTCAGGAGCCTCGACTCGAGGGCAGAGCGAAGCACATTCAGCTGCGGTACTTCCTCCTGCGTGAGCTACAGCAGCGATGTCAGGCTCGCGTAGTACACTTGGCCTCAGGTGCCAACACGGCTGATATCTTTACGAAGGCGCTTGCGCATAAAGATCATCAGCGGCACTGTGTACAGCTTGGTCTAGTTCCTGTAGCCTCTCACTTGCTAGACCTTGACTTTGTACTGTCCTTTATATGTATACTCATACTGGACTTGTGTCCTCTCCCAGTGGCTGGACTAGTAGTGCCGCCCTGCTCTTGTTCTTTCCTTGTCTGTACTCCTTCTGACTGGTCTCTCAGACCCTTGTCTCAGAGGTTGGACTAGTAGTGCCGCCCTGAGCTGCTTGTTTAGGACATTCCCCTATGCAGTCTAGGGGGTGTGTCAAACATGTGTATTTGTCATGTTTGTATAGACTGTATGGGGTAGCCTCTTAGAGGGTACAACACTTAGGTATATCTGTGTGTACACTCTCTCTAACATCATTCACTTCTTCAATTTATGATATTTTCCCCTGTTTATTCAGCGCAATTTTTTTACAATACCCTGATTGATCAGCGCAAATTTTTTTGAGTGGCCTGAAAAAACAGGGAGCTGAAGGGGGGGGGTCCTGAGTGGTCAGCGTGCCCCAAAACGAATCTGAGGCCCTGGTTAGGGTGTGTGGGTGTGTGTGGGTTCTTCTACTACCAAGCCTAGGGGGTGTGTTAAATTATATATGTTATATAATTGTAGGCTTGGTGGGCGTTACTGAAACTTACTCTAGAGGGTTCAACACCCCTCGTATCCCTCATCTATTCTCGACCCCTTTTCTCTCGTCAACTGACTCCTAGCTAAACCCTCTCGCCATTTTCATGGCTTCCTAGCTACCTAGCTCTCGTGACAATTGGTACTGTGTTATAACTTGTGCATAAGGAAGTGTACAAATGAACGCACAACTGCCTCACCCACAGGCCCTCTAACATCAGCCTCTCCTCCCGGAAGCTTACCATAGCACGAATAGTGGTGGTCACGAGGACATACATCCATGAACCTCGGTGCCTCAATTTTCCACGAGTCAAATACTGGTACGGACGATGCCAGCCGCATTCCTTTCTCAGTGAATGCGTGCAATATGGACGCTTCATCCCAAGCTTGTGCCGGATCTTTGTCGGCTGCTATGTAGCATGCTTTACCTTTAACACCACCACATTCATTATCTGCAGCACCTTCACAACCTCCACACACACCACCGTCGTTACTACCACCGCCGCCGCTGTAGCGAATACCACCTGCTGCCAGAGATCTCATCAACCGATTCAACTCCATAAGAGCAAGATTGGTTGACGGGCCGGCGAGTCGACTTGTTTGAAAAGCGCAGCGTTCGCCCACATTAGCCACAGGGGGTGACGTGCGCAGTACTATCGGCTTGCCAGTTCGGGCGGCAAACTGCAATCCCCAGTTGAGGTACTCTGGGAGGTGGGCTCGCATGGCTTGGTCTGGCTCTGCGCACCGCCCATTCGCCCAGTAGCCCGCTTCTACAATGGTGACGTCAGCTGTGGTGGACATGTTGGTGGGGAACGTGGTGTTGCGATGGGTGAACTTGCCCCGATGGCTGACCAGTTAATTAAGTGGGGGGGAGGAAGGGACGGGGGGGGAAGGGGAGGAATGAGTGAGATGCACATGGAGAAGCACGTGTTGTAGGCCCAATAACCTGCTTCTGTTGGTGACAAGGGGAGGAGGCGTTGGTTGGGAATGTGTTGCTGCGATGCAATCAGTGCGTTTGCCCTGACGGCCGAGGGTCGTGTGGGTAAAAAGATGGAGAATGAGAACGGGATGGAGGGAGAGGATGGGGGTACATGAATGCGCTGACGGGCTCTGAATGGCATTCTCATAGCAACCCAGCTCACCCGCAGCCGAACTCTTCGTTGCGGTAGATGCCATCCACCCAGTGGAAGTTGATCTTCAGCGTCTCGTTGCGCTCGTTCCGCGACTCAATATACAGGTCCATATTCTGATTGCGCTTTGTCGCATCGCCTGTCAGCAGGAAGTGCAGGTGAACTGCCAGCAATCTCTGGTGAGAATCCCCAACTAGGTTAATCTCTCGAATTCCCTTGCTCGAGAGCCCTGTGATCCAACGATCAGGGGGAGACTCTGCTGGCGCACAGGGGAAGAAAACCCAACTGAAGGTAGGAGGGGAATGGGGGTCGGGAACAGGAGGAAGGAGTGGGAGCGAGTGAAGACGATGGAAAATCCCAGTGACAGTGCCCTTCCCTTCCCCTCATCCGCCTGCCCTGAGAACAGCAAGAGCAGATGAGGAGCTGCCAGCACCTTCTGGTGCGAGTCCCCCACTATGCTCATCTCAGCAATTCCCCCTATCCTGAGTTATTTATCCAACGGATGGGAGGAGTTTGCGCTGGTGCACACGGGAAGAAAGCCCAACAGGAGTGCCATGGGGGAGACGACACAGGGGGGAGTGAGGGAGAAGAGAGAGGGAGAAAGTTGTGGTAGTGGAGTAAAATTGAAAAGAAGACAGCAGATAGCGGAGGTGCACTTCTTAGACGCTTTGGTGCGCATCCCCTACTATGTTGATCTCACAGGCGACCCTTCACTTCCTATGCCCTCCGGCTCGAGTTCCCTACTATGTTGATAACATGAATGCGACTCCTGTGACTATATCTGAGACTGACAGACCAGGGATGAGGAGCGTGGGAGCAAGCAGGAGGACAGACTTCCCTTTTGGATCACACCTATTTGAGTCACGCCTAACAAAATCACACCTACTCGAGTCGCACCTGTTTGAGTCACTCCCATCTGAGTCACCCACATTTGAGTCAACCTATTTGAGTCCACCTTGGGTCACATCTGTTGAGCCACACCTGTTTGAGTCACTTAAGTCACTCACGTGTAGTTGCCGTTGTCAGCCTTCTTCCACCGACCAGGGATGGACAAACCCGCACAGGGAGAGGCTTGTCTCCTAAAGGGGGTGGAGGTGGTATCTGAGGGGGTGGTGCCTGCGTCACCACTGTCCACATCACCAGCATCAACGCCCCCACTGCTACCAGCATCACCACCAACACCGGCAGCAACTGCAGTAGCGTCCGAGGAGATAGGAATCTTCTCAGAAGCTGCATGCGGCCAGCCAATGGAGAGGGTCCAGGCAGCAAGGTCGTGGAGGTGGGTGGAGCTGAAATGAGCGGCGAAGGAGGAGGAGAAGTTGAGATTAGCACAGGCCACGTGCACAGTGGCTCTGTTGTGGGGGGGGGATGGAGTACGAAGCAGGAAAAGGCAGGGAGGGGAGAGGGGGAAAATTGTGGAGGGAGAGGGGAGGGGAAGTTGGGGGAAAGCGAGAAAGGGAAGATGTTAGAACATAGGCTGCTAAGGTTATACCACTTAGGGTACACTGCTCGCTGGTCAAACCCAGCCAATCATGGTGGTCAGCAGAACCATTATTGGTCCAACCAACCAGTAAGGGTGAGGTTGGCCAACTCAGCTAGGAGTGACCCCATCTCTCATCACCTATGTATGCCCTTCCTTTCTCAATCCATCTCATGGCTTGAGCTTCTAACAGAAGAATGGAGGGAAAGAGCGGTTGGGGGAGAAAACGGGAATCGGGGGAAGAGTAGGGAAGAGAGAGGGACGGCTAGGGGGAGAGTAAAGTTCAGGGAAGAAGAGAGGAACAGACTGGGAGCGGAGAGAGGGATGGATGGGGGTAGAGAGGGACAATTGGTGGGGGAGAGAGGGAAAGTTGCGGGGAGAGAAAGACAGGGTGTTGGAGCATTGTCTAGCTGTCCCTTCGCTAGTTATCCACTTAAGGGAGCTACCTATATAACGTACCTGCGATGCCATGCCACCTGCATAGCGTACACGTACATTTACCTATGCACTTGTGTAGCGTACCTATATATCATATTCATATAGCTTGCTTAACCATATAACAACCTATACACCCATACAGAATACCCACACAGCTTACCTAAAGAATGCCTCGTCCACTTGACACACACCTGTACTCGCCAGTTCCCACAGTCGATAAGAGACGAGGGAGTGCAAGGAGGCAAGGGATCGAGGCACTACTACTACTACTACCCATGACCCACCGCCAGACCTTGCAGGGCAAAGGTCGCATCCCCTTCTTCCTGCGATACAGTTTCAGCATACCTGTAAACGCCCACGTCCCAGAGGCGGTAGGACACGAGGAAGTGCGAGCAGGCAGGGGGGTCCACGCACTGCACCTCCCCGTAGCCCAGCGCAGGGCCCTGCAGGGTGAGAGCCAGGTCCTTCTTCAGCCAGCTGAACTTGATGCTGCTGCTGTTGCTGCTGCTGTTGCTGCTGCTGTTGCTGCTGCTGTTGCTGCTGCTGTTGCTGCTGCTGTCGCTGCTGCTGTTGCTGCTGCTGTCGCGGCTGGTGCCACTGCCACCCCAATGAGTAAGAGCCATCAACCACGCGTGCACAGTGTTGCTTCTGCTGCTGCTGCGGCTGCCGGTGCTATCCCAAGGCGGCACCCAATGGGCAGGTGGCTTAACCCACACGTGCATGCTGCACTGCTCTCCTGGCACACACCCAGAGCAGCCCTTACCTGCCACCACCACCCCATCAGCTGCTGCTGCTGCTGCTGCTGTCGTGCTGCCATTATTGCTGCTGGTCGTCGAGATGGGTTCTGAGAGGAATTTAGGGCGGGCAAATTGAGCAGCCGTTTAACTGTCAACAACGAAACTATGGTCTTCAGTTACGTTATTAAATGCTCGCCTACTCATTCAAATGCGCCTGATAACCATGCAGAGGGGGAAGGAAAATAAAGGCTACCTGAGGACCAGCAAATGTGGTCCAGTGTGGCGTCAAAAAGAGACTCTGCAGCGACGGATGCAGCGCTGCCGGTGGAAGGGACCCCGCAGGGTTGGGGGGGAGGGGAGTGGGTAGATGCGAAGGTGGTGAGAAGGGGATGGGGAGGGAAGAAAGGGGATGGTGGGAATGGGCTACCTGAGAGACATCAAACCATCAGTTATGCAGTGCACTACGCATTAAAGCCCCACTCTCTTAATTCCGGGAAGTGACCACTGTTATTTGTTTGGTACCCAGTTACGCTGGCGAATGTGAAGTGACAGGCTTGGAAATGCCTCGGACAGTATGATGTGCTAGGGGGGTGAGATCAATCGTAAAACTAGTTCTGCAATATGAGAATCCTCAAGTTCTCGGAAGAACGGTGCTGCTTCACCGTTAGAACTTCAAGAGCCTTCAATCTGACGGTTGAGTGACTTAGGCACATAAATCGACGGCTATGAACGAAGTGGAAAGTAGTTGCGCAAAACATTGGAGTTTGCACCGTCCGATGTGCTAAACCTGACGCGAGCCAAACTTTCTCAGACCAGTTTCTTGGTTTGGTGTTTTTTTGTAGAAACAAAAAGTCCTTGCCACATGCGTTTCGTTTTCGTGAATTTGTTTACACCTCGCGTACCAATCAGTGCCAGTCTGTCTCAACCAAGTGTTAAACTCTAGTAATTATGAGATGGGGGCCTTAACGAGACAGGTAACGTCTGAATCAAATCGGAGCACGACTTTCAAGCTCCGCTGCACAGCACGATGTCATTGCGACGGACCTGCTGCCATCGCGACGCCCACTTTCGAGAAGCGACGACTCGTCGCTTAAATCAGCAGCGCTCCGCTCGGCGCTGCTGTCGGAGCCCGCCGAACTAAGCGAACCCTGCGAATCCGGCCGCCAGCTCCGCGGCGAACTCAGCAGCGGTTCTCTCAGCTGCTGCGAATCCCCCCCCGATAACAACGCCTGCTTTCGAGGTGCCTCAAGTAAAGGCGAACTCCCCGTCGAGCCGTCGCCTGAGAATCGCGGCCATACCTCGACGGCCACCAGCGTCAGCAGCAGCACGGCTACAAGAAACGGACGTCCTACCCACATCGACTCCAAGACGTCTCTTTTGGAACGCATCGCTGGCTGCGCTGACCTACGAACTCAACTCCTTCTGGAGTCCCAAGCAATCTGGATACGCGTTAGGCAGTGGGTGACGCAAAGAAGGGGTTGGAAGAGATGGATAGGGATTGGTTGAGGATTGTGGTCAACCACGCCAAGTTGAAGACAAACGTGGTTGGAACTTGCGAACTAAGTTCCAACCAACCACATGCCGCACCACTCTTCCGTAAGGCACGGGACCAGGCGTAAACCCTGTAGAGAGGATGAGATGGCGGAAAACGTGAACAACAAGTTTAGAGAAAGATACACTAGAAGCATTTATAAGCGAAAAGTGCTATGAGTAACGTCTATTGACATGACAAATGTATTTACCTAGCACGCGAGTTCGGAGCGCTGCTTGATGAGCGCAGGCTTATTCCAGCGAGTGACTTGGCAGTTATGACGTGTGTCGGGTCGACGTAATATGCCAAGGGCTGTAAGGAATTTTATTCCTTACCGTGTTGTACTGCAATTGCGTACACCTAAACTCTCGGAAGACCAGGCTCAGTCCGATTCCGATGCTAACCCGAGGCTAGCTCACGCCGCCTCCAGTCCTTTCGATCGCGCCTGTACCCAACCTAACCCTCCAGGGTCGTCACCTAGCTAGAGGTCCCGCTATATAGTGCTAGGCTCCCATTCTTGTACTCGTCATTATTATTCCGCGCACTCTCAGTTATTATTCATAACATCTGGTATCAGAGCTACTTTCCCCGCTCACCCCGCTTTCTCAGGGTAGTTTATTCCCAAGGCGTGGTTAACCCTGTGGGGCTGCAAAGCGGTTGTCCGTGAGCTAGAGTTATTAGCTCACACAACTACGATAGCGTTTGCGCCCCCTGCGGTTTCTTACCACGGCCTTCTCCCTGCCCGAAAGGCGTAGCATTCGCATCATGACTCAGGCCCAGCTAGACGAGGTCATAGCTCAGATGCAGGCAATGCAAGCCCAGATGGCGAATTTGAACAGTGAAGTCGTGAGACTTCGGACGGAGAACACCGAGCTTCGCCAGACGCATGGTGAAGCGCGTCAGGAGTCACCTGGAGTCGTAGATAATGATATCAAGCAAGAAGCCAACGAAGCGGCGAGCGTAACCATCCTTAACGAGCTCGCACGGGAGTTGGAGCAGGACGACGTGCGCACTGCGACTGTGACGAGGATTAAGCTCAAGCCAGCCAAGCCGCCCCCGTTCAACCCTTTAGACAAGGCGACGACGGTACAAGGGTGGTTGCTCAGCATGGAGTTATTCTTCACGGCTGCAAGTGTGCATGCAGACGATGCGCGCATTAATTATGCTGTGTCGCTGCTCCGAGGACCGGCGTTGGATTGGTGGCGACGGCAATTAGCGACTGGGACTCCGGCTAGCATGAAGCAGGCAAAGGACGGGACTTCGGATTCTTCCAACCAACAGGCAGAAACGATGTTCGGTACGACCACGATTCGCACGTGGAAGCAGTGGGGCACAGCTTTGCGAGCTCGTTTTGAGCACTCATCCGCCCCAGACGACGCTCCCATGAAGCTGCGCAACTGGCGGCAGGTGAAAACAGTTCAAGATTACACTGCGTCGTTCTTAGCACTTGTGGACCAAGTGGAAGACCTGAGCGAAGTGGAAAGGCAGGACAAATACATTAGCGGGCTGCATTTTGATATTCAGTATGAGTTGCAGTGGTCCCGGCGCAAGACGTTCGATGATGCTGTCCAGTTGGCGTCAGCAGCTGTTGAAGCTGACATTGGAGAAGTGCTTACCAGAAATTGCCGCGCGACTGGTGGACGGGACACCACTTGCGATTCGGGAACGAGCGCGCATGGTGCGGATGAAGTGTGGCGACCATTTCGGATCCAGCATGCCCATGCTGGCGACGACACCATACGGCTGCGACATCCTTCTCGGGCGTGATTGGCTGCGAAAATACAACCCACGGGTAGACTGGAAAACTGACGAATGCAGCGTGAACTATGCGAACGGGTGGCACGTACTTCCGTTCTAGCGAGGAAAAGATCCGGTATCGACACGTGTCAATGCCATCACCCTCCAACGAGCTGTAATACGGGGAGCTGATTTGTACGCCGTCCATCTGGCCGAAGCGACGGTCGACGACACGCCAAAGGACATTGACACACTTTGTGATAGTGTCCCTGCCGAGCTCGCTACGCTGATTTGACAGTATCCGGATATTTTTCTGGATGACTTGCCAGCCGGATTGCCACTTGAGCGCACCCAGGACCACAAAATTTGACTTGGAATCTGGCGCGCAGCCGACCGTCAGGACATAGTGGCGGCTGAATCAGCCTGAACTTACGGAGTTGCGGAGCCAGCTGGATTACCTACAAGAGAAGGGGTTCATTCGGCCCAGCACATCCCCGTTCACAGAGCCCATTTTGTTAACGCCTAAAAAGGACGGAGGGCTAGGAATGTGAATTGACTACCGGGCGCTGAATCGGCGAACCATCAAGTCTCGCTACCCAATCCCACGCGCGGGCGACCTCCTGGACCAACTTCGAGGGGCACGCTTCTCCAAGATTGACGTGCGAGGCGGTTACCATCAAATATGAGTCTTTGCTGACGACCGTCACAAGACGGTGTTCCGAACCCGCTACGGTAGCTACGAGTACACGGTGATGCCTTTTGGCCTTACGAATGCACCCTCTAGATTCCAGCTGACCATGGATGGCGTGTTCCACGATCTCCTCTACAAGTGTCTCATCGTCTATCTGGATGACATTTTGATGTTTAGCAAGACCGGGGAACAGCACCTCAAGGACCTCCACCAAGTTTTTCAACGGCTGCAACAAAATCGGCTCATCACCAAGGGCTCTAAGTGCAAGTTCCTAAAATCCGAACTGGATTTTTTGGGACATGTCGTTGGAGTGGACGACATTAAATTTGACCCGAGGAAAATCACCACCGCGACTGGAAGCCGCCTACGAATTTACAGGAGTTGCAAAGTTTTCTCGGGTTCGTTAATTACGTCCCGCGTTTTATCCCCAATCTGGTAGGGACAACCGGACCTTTAACTGACCTGCTACGAACGAGCACTTCATTTGAATGGGGGGAGAGACAGCAGGTTGCTTTTGATGTCACCTCCGGTCCTCCGAATCGCTAATCCATCTCGACCGTTTGAAGTCTTTACGGACGCTACCGGTTGCGCCATCGGCGCGGTACTGTTACAGGATTTTGGCGACGGACTCCAACTAATCGCGTATGAGTCCAGGAAGTTGCAGGCAGCTGGGCGCAACTTCCCCGTCCACGACAAGGAAATGCTCGTCATCGTGCATGCGTTTAAGGTGTGACGCTGCATCTGACACGAGCCAACGTACTGTAACAATACGGACATACCACAAATCCCTACAGTACCTCCGTGCGCAGCCGAAACTCAACCCGCGACAGATTTGTTGGCTGGATTTCCTCTAGAGCAACTTCCACTACACCTTTACGTACAACCGTGGGGCGAATAACGTTGCCGATGCACTGACACGACCGTCCGCCCACCTCGCCTCCGTCATCATTGCAAAATCCAACCCGCTACTCACCGGACTATTTATTTACGGCTACATCATTGATCCCTTCTTCACTCGTAACCTCCACCAGCAAGCTACCATGGCTAAGGGAACTTATTTCCTCAATGCAGTACCGACCGCATATGGGTTCCCGCTTATAGACTCCTCCGCGACTTACTCATCGTCGTCGATCGCCTGAAGAAAATGGCGTATTTTGCACCATGTCGCACGACAATCACAGCCGAAAAAAACACCAAATTGTTAATCTCAACCGTTATTTGTCTGCACGGACTTCCATCGGCGATCATCAGCGACCGCGACCCCAAGTTCACGTCCAAGTTCTGGCAAGAGACCTGGGAACAGTACGGCACCCGCCTGCAATTCTCGTCAGCCTACCACCCAGAGACCGACGGTCAAACCGAACGCACCAATTAGACCATAGAGCAGCTGATACGCACCAACTGCCCCGACCTTGCCTGGTGGGAAGAATTCCTGCCCATGCTCGAATTTTCCTACAACAACGCTCCATCGGGAGTGAATAATCACTCGCCATTCTTTCTCAACTATGGGATGGATCCAACGGTACCCACGACAACACACATCGGCAATCCCATGCCTCGCTCCCAGCAGTTTGTGACTGACCTACAGACCACCGGGAAAAAAGCGATTGAGTTTATCCGCAAATCCAATACCACTGCTCGACGCTACACCAACCTTCATCGTAGGAATATTATGATGGCTGCTGGGCAATTAGTCCTCCTTGACACGAAGAACCTTCGCCTGCCCCTGACGTCCAAACTCCACCCAAGATTCTGCAGCCCTTTCCGCATCCTCAAGATGGTGACACCTGTCATTCCAAGTCAGCCTCCTCTGTCCCTACGTCGCCAGCGCGTTAGCAGTTGCATGATCAGTGGCCGTCCGCAGTGTCCGCCTGAGGGCTGAACCGACACTTGAGCCATTCCAGCATTTGAGTCATCGCATCTGCCTTGACACCACGACACGCCACGTGGATTTCCTACTCCGTTGGGCCGACCGAACCAGCGAGGACGACACATGGGTCATTTTCGACTCGCTTAAGGAACACTCGGTGCTCAAATCATATTTGACCCGAAAAGGCGTTCCCGATATTGACCACCTTCCTTAAAGGGGGAGGGGGTAGTGTAAGGAATTTTATTCCTAACCGGGTTGTATTGCAATCGCGTACACCCGAACTCTCGGAAGACCAGGCTCAATCCTGTTGTGATATATGGAGTTTTGCATTCCTGCAAGTTCCGTTTTTCAGTGTAGCGTGCGGTATCGAGTTTCTCAGTAAGCATCCATGCCCGAGTGCTGATGTCAGCAAAGCATCGCGGGTCTCCGGGATGACGTCAGCATACTCCTTCAGTTACGCGAATAGGTGTAACGAGTCGTTTCAGTCACGCTCGCGACTCTATAGTATGACGAATAGGTGGCATAGCGCGCAATTAGTCGAACAGGTACTTTCCCTAGAGCTATAAATCCTAGTAATGCCTTTCTGTTAATAACCTTGACTTTCCACAGAATTATGTGCTCAGGTTATTCAACCTTCGACTACCCACAAGTTCATGTGCTCAGGTTCACTTCTATAAGAATTCCACGAGACGCCACGAGACGTCATGTGGATTTCCTATTCCGTTGGGCCTACCGAACCAGCTAGGACGACACACGGGTCATTTCCGACTCGCTTCAGGAACACTCGGTGCTCAAATCATATTTGAACCGAAAAGGCGTTGCCGATATTGACCACCTTCCTTAAAGGGGGGGGGGGGGTAGTGTAAGGAATTTTATTCCTTACCGGGTTGTACTGCAATCGCGTACACCCGAACTCTCAAAAGACCAGGCTCAATCCGATTCCGACGCGACCCTGAGGCTAGCTCACGCCGCCTCCGGTCCTTTCGACTGCACCTGTACCCAACCTAACCCTCCGGGGTCGTCGCCTAGCTAGAGCTCCCGCTATATAGTGCTAGGCTCCCATTCTTGTACTCGTCATTATTATTACGCCCACTCTCAGTTATTATTCATAACTGGCGAAATGAATGGTAACCAGTGTTAGAGTAGCGGGAAAAGTATAACTAGGAAGAGGGGAAAGGAGATACAAGTACAAGAATATTGTCCCAACTCCGAACTGACCTAACTAGGCTATAACAAACATATCTAAAGTAACTCGATATACCATTCAGTATGTAGACAGAATCATACAGTATTCCCCCCATTCCTCCCCCTTTGCCGTCCCCCCTCCGTTCCTCCCCTTGTCACGTCCCCCCTCCGTTCCTCCCCCTTTGCCGTCCCCCTCCGTTCCTCCCCCTTTGCCGTCCCCCCTCCATTCCTCCCCTTTTGCCATCCCCCCTCCGTTCCTCCCCCTTTGTCGTCCCCCCTCCGTTCCTCCCCCTTTGCCGTCCCCCTCCGTTCCCCCCCTTTTGCCGTCCCCCCTCCATCCCTCCCCCCTTGTCGTCCCCCCTCTGTTCCTCCCCCTTTGTCGTCCCCCCTCCGTTCCGCCTCCCTTTGTCGTCCCCCCTCCGTTCCCCCCCTTTTGTCATCCCCCCTCCTCCCCTCCCCCTTTGCCGTCCCCCTTCCGTTCCCCCCCTTTGTCGTCCCCCCTCCGTCCCTCCCCCTTTGTAGTCCCCCCTCCGTCCCTCCCCCTTGGCCGTCCCCTCTCCGTTCCTCCCCTTTTGCCATCCCCCCTCCTTTCCTCCCCCTTTGTCATCCCCCCTCCGTTCCCCCCCCTTGGTCATCCCCCCTCCGTGCCCCCCTATTGTCATCCCCCCTCCGCCCCTCCCTCTTTTGTCGTCCCCCCTCCGCCCCTCCCCCTTAGTTGTCCCCCCTCCGTCCCTCCCCCTTGGCCGTCCCCCCTCCATTCCTCCCCTTGGCCGTCCCCCTTCTCTTCCCCCCCTTCGTCGTCCCCCCTCCGCCCCTCCCCCTTTGTCGTTCCCCCCCCCGACCCTCCCCCTTAGTCGTCCCCCCTCCATCCCTCCCCCTTTGTAGTCCCCCCTCTGTCCCTCCCCCTTGGTCGTCCCCCCTCGTTCCTCCCTTTTTGCCGTCCCCCCTCCGTTCCCCACCTTTTGCCGTCCCCCTCCGTTCCTCCCCTTTTTGCCATCCCCCCTCCATTCCTCCCCCTTTGATGTCCCCCCTCCGCCCCTCCCCCTTTGTCGTCCCCCCTCCGTTCCCCCCCCTTTGTCGTCCCCCCTCTGCCTCTCCCCCTTTGTCGTCCACCCTTCGTCCCTCCCCTTTTGCCGTCCCCCTTCCGTTCCCCCCCCTTTGTCGTCCCCCCTCCGCTGCTCCCCCTTTGTCGTCCTCCCTTCGTTCCCCCTCCATTTGTCATCCCCCCTCCGTTCCTCCCCCTTTGCCGTCCCCCCTCCGTCCCTCCCCCTTTGTCATCCCCCCTCGTTCCTCCCCTTTTGTCGTCCTCCCTCCGGTCCTCCCCTTTTGCCGTCCCCCCTCCGTTCCTCCCCCTTTGCCGTCCCCCCTCCGTTTTCCCCCCCTTTGCCGTCCCCCCTCCATCCCCCCCCCCCTGTCGTCCCCTCTCTGTTCCTCCCCCTTTGTCGTCCCCCCTCCGTTCCCCCCCTTTTGTCGTCCCCCCTCCTCCCCTCCCTCTTTGCCGTCCCCCTTCCGTTCCCCCCCCTTCGTACTCCCCCCTCCATCCCTCCCCCTTCGTAGTCCCCCCTCCGTCCCTCCCCCTTGGCCGTCTCCCCTCCGTCCCTCCCCTTTGCCGCCCCCCTCTGTTCCCCCCCTTTGCCGTCCCACGTCCATCCCTCCCCCCTTGTCGTCCCCCCTCCGTTCCCCCCCTTTGTCGTCCCCCCTCCGTCCCTCCCCCTTTGTAGTCCCCCCTCTGTCCCTCCCCCTTGGCCGTCCCCCCTCCGTTCCTCCCCTTTTGCCGTCCCCCCTCCTTTCCTCCCCCTTTGTCGTCCCCCCTCCGTTTCCCCCCCTTTGTCGTCCCCCCTCCCTTCATCCGCCTTTGTCGTCCCCTCTCCGTTCCTCCCCCTTTGCTGTCCCCCCTCCGTTCCTCCCCCTTTGATGTCCCCCCTCCGTTCCTCACCCTTTGTCGTCCCCCCTTTCTTTCTCCCCTTTTGTCTTCCCACCGAATCGCTCTAGATTCTCTGTTATTGCTAGTGGGTCAAGCTCTTCCCTCTTATCTTCTGCCCCTGTTATCCTCTCCAGTCATGTCATCATGTTCATGGTCGCCACATTCCGATAACATTCCAAGTCGTCGAAGTTCAAGTCATCACGTTCCAAATCTTCTCACTCCAAATCCGATCAATCCTGTTAGCACCATTTGATTGATAGATATTTGAAGTTGAGTTTCGGTCATGTTTTCGTGCTACCCATTATATATTTGTGTTTGACTGCTGTGCATTTGCATTGTTGTTTTGTGTCCAGATTTTTCATGTCGTGTTGCTTGTGTATGTGCGTATGCATGGTATCATTGGTTGACAATGCATATCCGTTTGTTGGCTTGTGTTGCACAGTGTTGCGTTGTGTTGTGCTTGCAGAGGAAGGATGCTGGCTATGCCTAGTGCATCACACAATTTGCAATTGTCGTTGCCGGTTTGAGGAATTGCTTCTCACTCCGTGCATGTCAATCTGTATTGTAGCACGAAAGCATTGATGCATTTCTTTCTTTGCAGTCACTATTGTACCGTTATTTGTTTGTTAGCACGTGTTGTGCATTGTTGTGTATTGTGCATGCGTGCAGGAGAACGATGCCGACTATGCCTAGTGCATCATGCAATTTGCGACTGTCGTTGCCGGTTTGGGAGCTTCTTCCTAAAACGCGCAAGTCAATCTCTATTGTTTCACTGCATTCGCGATCGTTTTGTTGTATTGTATTGTTGTTGACCCGAGTAGTTGTATGCACGGTATGCGTGTTGGTAAGTTGCACTATATCTACGTGCTTTGAATATGGTGGTGATGTTGTGGTTCCTATTTTTCTCCGCCGTAATTATCGCCGGCGATTGATTCGAGCCTCTCTCATCATTCTTAGAAAGCTTAGAAAAATGTCACAAAACTCTATGTTGCTCAATTATTATCTCGTCTGCATTATCGACCATATAATAATTGGGAATCATAGATTACGGTAGCAAGAAATAACTTTTGAGACGCTAGGTTTCTGAGTTACGGTAAAAGGAATCAACAAACAAACAATGCATAGAGATTCTCCATTGGAGAACGTAAACATTCAGATTATAAATAACCAATTTTAGATGGAACAAGAGGCGACGAGATCGTCTTAGGGTTGCGGAGCATTTCATGATGAGACTTTATTATACATAAAATGTTTTATTTCCATCACAACAAACATTTCACAAACTTGAAAAAAAAACCAGCCCGATCGATTGCAATAGGTTGCTCCGCAACCCAAAAAAAAAAGAGGTGTCCTTAGAGTGAGCGAAACATTAGACCAGACAAAATATGTTGCTCGGGTTACTAGGCCGATTAAATAAAGTCGTCCGAAATCGGTCCACCGACCGATTGTAAAGTTTGCTACGCAACCCAAAAATTCAAGGTGTAGAGTGCACCTTCGCGAGAATAACTCTCCTCGATGGAACTATTGCTGCTGACACGTCACGTGGACCCCACACGTTACCAATTACCAAGCACCTTCAAGGGCCAGGAGGAAACCCAAGCCCACTCCACGCACTGCATTCCTGCGTTCTCGCCTCCACTGCCGCCGCCAGCATTGCACGAGCGCCACCTTGCCCCCCTCCAGCCTGGCAAGCCGCGTTACCTCCTCGGCGGCATTCCCAATGGCCCTCCTCTGCTGCTCCCCGCCACGCAGACTTGCGCAAGAACGCTCTCCGCTTGCGTCCCTTCCGCGCTTGTCACCGTACCGTTGCAGTGTAGTAGGCGCAAACTCCCCTTTCCTACTGTATGCGCGGCGACTTTGGGATGTCTGTCCAACATCCAACATTGCTGGCAAACTCGCTTCCGTGCAAAGCCGAATTTGCTGCTTTCGGGCCTCGTCGCCGCAGGGATCAGATCTAACGACGTCGCGAAATCTAGGAGGTCATCGTGACCATGTCGTCGAGGCGTTTCGCGCAAGCCGCGGCGGCTTCGCCATTTCGGGCCTGCTTGTATCGCGTGCATCTACTATCCCGCCAACCACCCAGCACCTACAACCACCAACAGCTCGTCCCTTGTTCTGGCATCCCGTGCTCCTCTCCCCTCGCTGCAGTCACTTCCAGAGCATCATCCCTTGCTTACACAAATCCTTCGTTACATGGTAACCTGACCAGAACGTCAATTCTACCGTTACAATCACACTCAAAGTCCGGGCCTTCCGGGAGAGCGTGTGAATCCCACGTACCCGAGCCTCAGCCGCGGCGCTACTACTATGAGTCAACAGCGGTGCGCGCCCCCGCTCTGTTGGGCCAGCGGGAGAGGCACGGGCAGCAGCGCGAGCAGCGGCGGGGGGTGACGTACATGCCGCGGCCGGGGGAGAGCGCCCCCCGCACGGTGACGCTGCTGCCTGGCGATGGCATTGGGCCGCTCGTCACCGACGCCGTCGTGCAGGTGAGGGTGGGGCGGTGAGGGTGGGGCGATGAGGGTGGGGCGGTGAGGGTGATGCGGGTGGTGAGGATGATGGTGGTGAGAGTGATGGTGGTGAGAGTGATGGTGGGGTGTTTGAGGTGAGTGCGATGGTGGCTATATTAAAAGACTTCACATCTGTCCGTTCGTCATTCCGTCCATCGCCCCAGCATATATGCGTCACCTGATGCAGCAGCACTGCCGCTGGCAAGGTTGGATCCTTTTTCCACCCAGCGCCCTCTCTCTCAACCGGTCCTTGTAATAGTACCCATTGCCCTGACCTTGTCTCTCAACTCTTTCATGCACTCAATCTTTCTGCCTCCCTCTCTTCACACCCTCTCACTTCACCCTCTCTCTCTTCACTTCCCCTGGCTCTTCCCCCCATCCCCCCAGCCTCTGCCCCCCTTCCTTCGTTCCCACACCTGCCTCCTTTTCTCACCAAAACTTTCCCGCATTTGTTTCCACTCCCCGCCACTACCCTCCACTCCCCTCCACTTCCCTCACGTCGGGTGCCCCTCCACCCTCGCAGGTGCTGTCGGCCATGCGTGCGCCGGTGCAGTTCGAGGTGTGCGAGGTCAGCGGGAGGATGCCTCGCCTGCCCGCTGATGTGCTGGACTCGCTGCGCCGCAATGGCGTCGGCATCAAGGGCGGCCTCGCCACGCCCGTGAGTGGTTTGGCTGGGGCGTGGGGTGCCCTGCATGCTTGTGTAAGTGCCGTGTGCCTTGTGTGCCTTGCTGCTTGCTGCACCTGTAGCAAAACACTCTGTATACGTTTTATCGTGTCTCCCGCTTGCAAAACACTCTGCTGCTTCAAAGGGGAGTCTATTTTTGAGGAGCCTCAAAAATAGACTCCTCACGCATGGTTTATTCATAGAGAGGTTTTTTGTTGCTTGGAAAATTGGGTGTAGCTTATCGAAGCGTTTGGTGCGCGCGCGGCTTCCGAGGCTGCCTGCTGGCGAGAATTCGAATTCAACTCATTCTCAAGACACCCTCGAGATTTGAAGACGTGGCCCCTTGGTTTTTACCAGGTTGGCTTCGATTGGTCCCCGATATTTTGTGTGACCCGGGTGAAGATTACATTGAGTTTGGTTCGGTTGGATGCTTAGTTTCTACTTAGAAGCTTAGCTTTGCTCATACTTTCTCATTGGCACTGATGAATGCTCGCTAGGGTATGCCCTGCGGCCGAAACATGTTTGTCACCTGTTTAATTGGTTGTTAAGGGAAGAGCTCCGACCACTCCAAACTCGCGTTTACATAAGCACCGTTGTCAACTGTTTTTTCCTACGTGCTAACCCGTCTCCTGACGCCGCGCTCACTGGAAGATGTCCAAGGATTTGCTTACACTTACGCCTACTCCAGAAGACGCCAGCGCAGAAGACGGAAGACTCGCAATCGTTTTGCGCGAGACAGACAGCCCTGAAAGAGTTTACCGGCGCAAGTCCAAATGTCGTCGCCCACTCAAGGAAGCTGACTCTGTTCCAACTCGCGACACTTCGAAGCAAGACGAGCAAGAAGAATTTCCTCCCTCCATGGACGTTGAAACCGATCCGAATGGCGCTCCGGCTGCTGCATCGACGGATCTCCCGTCCGTCGCCCCTGCTGTAGCATCGAGCTCCAACCCGACAGTCGCCATCGACCAGTCTACTCCGATTCCTGAACCTTTTAAAGGTTGGACTACGGAGGCTGTCAAGGGTTTTCATAATGATTTCAGGGCCTACCTGAAGGCGAAGTCGAAGCTGAAGAAGATGAAGGCGCTTGACAGCCAAGGTGTGATACTTCACAGTATCCGCACCAAAGTTGTCGAGTTTCAGACTAAATTCTCCTCGATCCGAGAGAAGTCTGAAGTCTCTGTGGCGGCTATTCATCGCGAATACCAGCAACGAATTCAAGCCGACTTCATCAAGTCGAAGGAACTGGAGGTTGAAGAAATTCTTACGGCTTCCGATTCACACCTCACGGCTCTGGCGGCGAAGATTGAGGACCACATCAAGAGTCTTACCTCTGTCCCCGAGCTGGCGATCTCCGACGTCGCCAAAGAAAAATTCAGGAAGATCAAGGGACACTGTATCGAGAAGGCTCGGTCCGACATCGCTACCGCTAAGGATGACATTAAAGTCCAAGAGCTGCTGAAGCAGAAAACACGTGAAGCCGAGGATTTGAAGAAAGCTGCTGCCATTGAGGAAATGGAAGGCATGGAACCAGGGCCGACATTCAACGAAATTGCTCAGAAGGCTGTTCAGAAGGCGAAGGCGGAGCTCCGCATGGAAGTCAAGGCGGAAGTCAAGGCGGAGCTTTTGTCTACCCTATCGTCACAGCTACGAGCGATGGTGTTGGAAGCGCAGGGAGCTACGTCGACCCCCGCTACCTCTACTTCTAAGCCTTCTACATCGAAGAAGACGGCGAAGAATCGTGGCGGCAAGAAGAAAACGCAAGCCGACCCTCCGAAAGACAGCAAGGGGAAGGGCCGAGAGACTACCACGCCAACCTCGAAAAAAGCCTGGGCTCCAAAAAATGGCGGCGGCGGCCCCGCAAAAGGGCCGCCGAAGAAGAAGTAACGGCTCACGATCTAGCACTCCGGTGGTACGGACGACTGACAGTTCGACAAGCGCTGTCCCGCGTTCGTAACCTCGGGGTGCATAACCTGAGTGCTAAAGTCCTTACGTCCGATGAGCGGAAAGCACTCGGGTTGGGTTTGAAGTTCGTTCCTACTCCTGCCTGGAATCCGCCTGTTGAAGCAGCTCTCGATCAGCTGCATCGACAGGTCTCCCTCCATTTTTTCTTCAAGGATAAAGGGGGACCCGCTGGATCTTCGCGCTTTCGGGTGCGCAATCCTAGGTGGAAACCCGATCAGGACGAGGTCCCGGAGTCGGTTTTCAGAGAGTCGCATGATGACCTCTCTTTCCTGCTGAAAGCGACGAAGCCGATACGTGGATCTAACCTTTCGCGAGGCGTCCGTACGGCTCTACGCTCCCTCGCGACTGACCGCAGCATTGTCATCAAGCCCGCAGTTAAGAACCTCGGCATGACGGTCCTCGATCGCGCCCACTACGTCAATCTGGTGATGGAACATCTCTCGGACGACGCTGTCTACTTGCCGACTCCGACGGACCCGACGCCGAGTGTTCTGCAGCAGCTGCGTTTTCTTCAGTCGACTTGGGGACCGGCTTTTCCAGACAGTCTCTGGAAGTTTTTCTTCAACGAACCGTCGGGTGGTTGGAAACCTGCGACTTTCTACATCCTGCCTAAGCTTCACAAGAAAATCCCCGTGGGGCGTCCGATCGCCGCCTCTCACTCGTTGGTGACGACTAATGTGAGCAAATGGCTCGATGCACAGCTACGGCCGCTCGTCCTCAGACGACCTACCTACCTCCGCGACTCCCTCTCTCTGCTGACAACGCTCGAACGGATTTCATTCCCCCCGAACGTCCTTCTTGCGACCTACGATGTTACCTCGCTCTACCCCAGCATCGCCATTGAGCGTGGACTCGAAGCGGTTAGTAGTTTTCTCGAGAGAGAGGACCCACTTCACGCTCAACCACTTATGACTCTTCTGGGCTGGGTCATGAGAACTCCTACGTGGAGTTCGACGGCAAAATCTACAAACAGATTCGCGGTACAGCGATGGGAACCCCGGTCGCCGTTTGCTTCGCGATTCTTTTCATGAGCCGCCTGGACGAGCTGTTGAAGGAACGATGGACCGGAACGAAACCTCTCTTCCACGTGCGCTACATCGATGACGGCCTTATTATCTGGCCAGGAACGCAGGCAGAACTGGAAGACTACCTTCGGACCTTCAACGCGCTTGATCCTAACATTAGGATTACGTGGACCGTTTCGGACAGCTCTACGGATTTCCTCGACATGGTCCTCTACAAGGGACCTCGTTTCAAGGAGCTGGGTTTCTTGGATTTCGGTACTTTCCAAAAGCCGATGAACAAGTACCTCTATCTTCCCTTCTCTTCCTTTCACCCGTGTCACTGTAAGGAGGGTTTCATCAGCGCCGAACTGAAGTGGTACCTACTCCGTTCGACATCCGCGCCGACCTTCCTCACTACGAAGTCTGCTTTCTTCCAAAGACTTCGCGATCGCGGTTACCCACCAGCTATTCTGCACCCAATCTTCGCGAGTGTCACTTTCGCTCATCGACTCGAACTTCTCGCCAACGTCACCAGCAACCAATTACTCAAGCAACAATTATCTCTCTCCTCCCGCGGGCCCCTAGTACTGAAGGCGGAGTTCACTCCGTGGACTGCTCGTCTCCGACTAGGGGTCATTTTGAGGCGCCTCAAAAATAGACTCCTCACGCATGGTTTATTCATAGAGAGGTTTTTTGTTGCTTGGAAAATTGGGTGTAGCTTATCGAAGCATTTGGTGCGCGCGCGGCTTCCGAGGCTGCCTGCTGGCGAGAATTTGAATTCAACTCATTCTCAAGACACCCTCGAGATTTGAAGACGTGGCCCCTTGGTTTTTACCAGGTTGGCTTCGATTGGTCCCCGATATTTTGGGTGACCTGGGTGAAGATTACATTGAGTTTGGTTCGGTCGGATGCTTAGTTTCTACTTTCTCATTGGCACTGATGAAGGCTCGCTAGGGTATGCCCTGCGGCCGAAACATGTTTGTCACCTGTTTAATTGGTTGTTAAGGGAAGAGCTCCGACCACTCCAAACTCGCGTTTACATAAGCACCGTTTTCAACTGTTTTTTCCTACTTGCTAACCCGTCTCCTGACGCCGCGCTCACTGGAAGATGTTCAAGGATTTGCTGCTTCAAAGGGGCATCTAATGGTATACGTTTTGCTTTACTGCCACTGCAATAAAATCGGGGCCCAAACTGGTGATTCTAAAAGCCTGACGAGTCAATGACTCTTCATGTGCGCGCTGGTGTTAGCACAAAAAGTGCATGGTAACACCACCATTCATGTTTCGCATGGTACCAAACTAACTTTCACAGGTGTCGCTACATAGTTGCTGCCACGTATTGACGACATGGCACGTAACTGGTGTTCCATCGGACTTTCGCATGGTACCATGTCTCACCCCCTTCTTCTCCCCCATTCAACCTCCCCCCATCCCCCGTTTCCACTGCCTGTCGTTTCCCCTGCTCCCGCACCCACCATTCCCCCACCCATGGCACACACCCCCTCCCCAGGTGGGCGGCGGCGTGAGTTCGTTGAACATGCAGCTGCGCAAGGAGCTGGACCTCTTCGCCAACCTCGTCTTCTGCCACGACATGCCCATCGCCACCTCCGCCACCAACACCACCACCACCAACAACAACAACAACCACCATGCCCCTGCCACGCCGCCCCCGCACGCCCATGCCGATGGCAACACACATGACGGTGCTCGAGACCATGTGCGTGCGCATGCACGGGGGGACGTGGCAGCGGCGCTGCGGCGGCGGCACACGGGGGTGAACATAGTGGTGATCCGGGAGAACACAGAGGGCGAGTACAGCGGGCTGGAGCACGAGGTCGTGCCAGGGGTCGTGGAGTCCCTCAAGGTACGCGTCCTCCTGCACTACAGTCTTCTCGGACGTCTCAGGACATACCGGGGTCGTGGGGTCGCTCAAGGTATGTGCTGTGCTAATTCCCTTTCGGTTCCTCCTTATTATTTTTTATTCATGTTCCTTCTGTCTGTGTTCTTCTGAATCTCCTTAAACGTATAATCCACTCCTATGTTATGTTCTCCCCCCCTGCCACTACCTGTTCCAGTACCCTCAGTCTTACCCTCTCTCTTTCGTCGCACACACACATGGCTTCTCTTGCCCTCCTTACCTGCCCCCCTTCCCACCTCCTTACCACAAGCTTTTCCACCCCCTGTTCCACTTCCCTTCCCCCCTGCAACCGCTTCCCTCCCAGTTGTTTGCCTAGTTTTTCATCTGCCCTTTCCCTTGCCCTTACCCCCCCGTTCCCGTCTCTGCTACCCTTCCCCTTCCCCTCCCCCTTCCCCCCCACGCCCCTTTCCCCTCCCCCTTCCCCTTCCCCTCCCCCTTCCCCTTCCCCTTCCCCTCCCCTTCCCCTTCCCCTCCCCCTTCCCCTTCCCCTCCCCCTTCCCCTTCCCCTCCCCCTCCCCCTTCCCCTCCCCCTTCCCTTCTCCTCCCCCTTCTCCTTCCCTAACCCCTCTTCAGGTGGTGAGCAAGTTCTGCTCGGAGCGCATAGCGCGCTACGCCTTCCAGTACGCGTACCTCAACGGGCGCAAGGCGGTGACAGCGGTGCACAAGGCCAACGTGATGAAGGTGTCCGATGGGCTCTTCCTCGAGTCCTGCCGCCAGGTGAGGGGGAGAGGTGAGGAGAGGGGGGGGAGAAGAGGAGGAGAGGTGCTAGAGCAATTGAAGGGACTTCTCTTGAGACGCCGCAAAGGTGACAGCGGTGCACAAGACCAACGTGATGAAGGTGTCTGACGGCAGGCTCTCTCCTTGAGTCCTGCCGCCAGGTGAGGCCAGGGGTTGGGGTGGGAGGAGAGGAGGAGGAGGAGGAGAGGAAGATCGGTGCTAGGATAATTGAAGGGAGTTCAGTTTAAGCGCCGCAAAGGTGGCAGACGGTATTTCTGAGAATTCTCAACAATACCCTGCACAAGGTGACTTTTGAGTCGACTCAAAAGTCACCTCAAGAATACCCTGCTCAAGGCCAACGTCATGAAGGTGTCTGACGGCAGGCTCTCTCTTCGAGTCCTGCCGTCAGGTGAGGGTGCACAGAGTGCGAAGGGGAGAGCAGCTTGTATTGACGCGCCTCAAAGGTGGTGGTGGGGCACAAGGTTCTGTGATGACGGTGGCCGATGGACTCTCTCCTCGAGTCCTGCCGCCAGGTGAGGGGGCGAGTTGCTAGGGCAGGGCAGCTGTCGTGACACGCCGCAGAGCTTGTTTGACGCGCCTCAGAGGTAATGGCAACGACGCACAAGGCTGGGGGCCAACATTGGACCTCCAAGTTTGGTGGCATGAAGATGTACAATGGGCTTTCCTCGTCTCCTGCCGCCAGGTCAGGGGGCCATCAGGGGGAGGGTGGGAGGTGGGGAAATGGGCGGCGTGGGGGGAGAGAGTTTGAGTCGTGCAAACATGTAGCAACTACTTGGCGGAGAAATAAGGAGCGTGGATTGGGATTGTCTTGCGTTCAACTGGACCATTGCGTTGCAGCATCATACCACCACCAGGACCATTGCTGCATGAAGTAAGAACACCCCTTTTCTCTCGCCTCCACTTCTCCCCCCCGCCCCTCCTCCCCCCTGCTGTCCCTGGTGGGTGTGGCAGATGGCGCTGGCATACCCCCAGATTCGGTACAGCGAGGTCATTGTGGACAACTGCTGCATGCAGCTCGTGCGCCGCCCACAACAGTTCGACGTCATGGTGAGGGGAGAGGGGGGAACGGAGGAGGGGGGGGAGATGGTGGGGTGGGGTGGGGTGGGGTGGGGTGGGTGGTGACGGGAATTCTCTGTTGGGTGCTATTGTGCGCATTGTGTCGTGCGTACACAGACTTGCACATATATGTAGGACGATCTGGTGGGGAAGGAAGTTGGGTAGTGTGGGCAACAACAATGGAGTAAGTGGATAGTGGGAGACGGGAAGAAGGGCAAAAAATATTTTCAGCTCGGGATTCTTATGTTTAGAGCGACTGAGCTCGTTAGGTTGAAAGCTCTTATCCTCGTGATTTTGTGCTGTTTTGAGAGCATTCTGTGGCCTGTTGCCATGTTTGCCGGCTTCATTTCCTGTGGGTAAGGTTTGAGGCTTCATGTGCCGCAGTCTGTGTGTGCGCCCACACCTGTGTGTTTGTGCACGTGCGTGCGTGCGTGTGTATGTTTGATGTCTATGCGATGTCTCTGTGATGTCTGTGATGTATGTGTGATGCCTGTTTGCGTGTGTGTCATATCCCCCTTCTTCACCAGGTGACACCCAATCTCTACGGTTCGCTAGTGGCCAACACAGCAGCAGGCATTTGTGGGGGCTCTTATCTCATGCCCGGAGGTACTTCAAACTGTCATTCTCTAGTGCTATACCTCTCGTACTATGGCAGAAGGTACTCCTATGACATGTCTGGTGTGGGGGCACTATGCAATGTATTGTGTCCACTGTCCACACTCACAACACGCGTCACATTCCTCACAACCTTGTGTCATTGCACCGCATCCCACCGCAACCCCAACCCCCCGCCCTCCCCCCTTCCCTCCTGGCCTCCCAGGCAACGTGGGGTACAATGCAGCAGTGTTCGAGCAGGGTGCGTCCGCGGGCAACGTGGGCAACGAGCGCATGGTGGCAGAGCGCACGGCCAACCCCACGGCGCTGCTGCTGTCGGCAGCCATGATGCTGCGCCACCTGCAGGTGCCCGTCTTTGCCGACCGGGTAGAGGGCGCAGTCAAGGCCATGCTGGCAGAAGGGGCCGTGCTCACTCCGGACATGGGTGGCCGTGCAACGACTCAGGATATGGTTGATGCCATCGTGGACAAGCTGGGGTGATAGGGTGGGGTGAGATGGCAGGTGCTGGTCTTTGCGGACAGGGGCGCTGTGAAGGCAGTGTTGGCTGAGGGGGCTGTGCTCACTCTGGGCATGGGCGGCCGGACGACGACTCAGGACATGGTTGATGCTATCGTGGATAAGCTGGGGTGGGGGGGGGGGGAGGGGTCTGCTTTTGAGTCGCATTTTGCCTGCAACAACAATGGCGTGGAGGGCGCTGTGAAAGCCGTGTTTGCGCAGGGGGCTGTGCTTGCGCAGGATATGGTTGATGGTATGGCGGACAAGCTGGGGTGAGGGTAGGGTGAGTGAGAGGGTGGGGTATCTGAGAAACTCACGTGGTTTGGGGAAAGAAAAGTGGGGCGGTTGGAGAGCGGGCCACTCCTTTGCGTGGGTGCAAACGAGCGCTGCTGCTGCTTCTGCTGCTGCTGCTTCTGCTGCTGCTGTGAGCGCTGCTGCTTGCAGGTGCAGACTGCCAGCCAGTGCTCATCTGTTGTGAACACTCAGAGTAGAGAAGTTGTTAACTGCGAGTCTATCTATTGCCATGTGCTAGATAAGTTGTACAGGTTGCAAAGAAAATGAATTGCTGCTCTGACAGGCTTTGTAAAGAAAACATTACTGCACTGCTGAAGTTACGATCCATACCATACCATTCACATCATCCCATGTTTGAAATGCAGATGAGTATGCCGCACATAAAATAACTCATTCATACCGTACTACAACCAACTAGATAATCCTTCTCTTGGCCTCTCTCTCTGAACATTCCTTGTTTCTCTAGCCATCTCAGCAGCACCCTCACCCATGCCGGTCTGTCCACTGTCTGAGCCCCAGCCTCCCATTGCCACTCCTTTCCCAGGCGCCCAATCCCAATCCTAGCCTGCTGGGACTTGCTGCTGTGCCCTTCAACAGTCAGCTCTGCTCCCCTCGTGTCTGGTCCTCGGAAACATGCAGACACCTCTGCTGTGTTCATGCTGCATTCCCTCTTGCTCCGTCAGTCTGCAGACGCAGCAGCAGCAGCAGCCTTGGCACTCGAATCGTTCCTGCTCCCTGCCACGTTCAGCTTCTTCTTCGCTTCTTTCGCCCTCTTCTTTTTCTTCGGCTTCTTTTTCTCAGGGCTCTCTCCCCTGTTCCCATCGGCAACTGTATCAGCAGCTTCTGTCGCATCCCCTTCTACCTCATCTGACCCTCTCCCACTTACTTCTGCCACCTGCTCGTTTGACTGGGCAACACTCCCCTCCTCCCCCTCCTCCTTCCCTGCCTTCCCTGCCTTCACTGCTTTTACCGCCTTTGACTTGCTCTTTCTCTTTCCTGTCTTCCTCACTTCCGCCGCCGCCGCCGCCGCCTCCTCATCCCCACCCTCCTCCTTCCCACTAGCCTCCTTCTCCCCAACCACGTCCTCTCCCCCTCTCCTCACCTCCGCTGCAGCCTCCCTGTCTTTCTCAGCCGCATCTTCCCCCTTCTCTGAGCCCCCACTTTCCCCGCCACCCGTCTCAGCCACACCTGTCAGTGCGGACGAAACCAATGCTTTCCCATATTTTCCCGCTGCTGCTTCCCCTGCTTCTGATGCTTCTCCTGCATCGCCCACCTTCTTTCGCAACGCCGCTGCCTTCCGCACTCCCTCCCCACGGCTCACCTCACCTCCAGCAGCAGCACCACCCACATTCAAATCTCTCTTCCCACCCACTCCACTCCTCCCACCCACACGAGTCTTAGCATTCGCCTTTGGGGCTACATCCGCCGTCCCCACCGTATCAGGCACAGCCATGAGATCCTCCCCATCCTGCACCACCCTCCCTTCCGCTGCCAGCGTTGCCGTCACTCCCCCCCCTACAGCCTCTGTTGTTGCTGCCGCTGTGGCTGTCCGGCTGCCCCCTGCCTCTGCTGACACATCCTCCCACTCCCTCTCTATTACTTCCGGCCCACTCCTCCTGCCTATTGTACCGTTCACAGCCGTACTGTTGCCGATTGTACCACTGCCAACCGTATTGTTAACAGCCGTACCGTTACCAGCAGCATCACTGGCAACCAGGCTAGTCGCTGATCCCTTCGCCTCACTGCCAGTAGCAGCCTCCGTTGTGCCCTTGCCAGCCGAGGAAGAAGACGCGCTCTTGCCCTTGCTCGTCTTTCCCTCCTTCTCCTCTTCCTCCTCCACCTCCTCTGCCTCGTCTGCGTCCACAGTTTCCTTCTCCACCTGCCCCTCCTCCGCCTCCGCCTCCCCCTTGCCTTTCTTGTCTAACCTTTTCCCATCCTTCCTCTTCACCTGTCCCTTCTTCTTCTCCTCCTCAGTCTTCAGCTTGCCCCGCCTCTTCCGCCTTTCCTCCACGTCATCCCCCCCATCATCCTTCCCGGACCCACTAGCCGCCGAGCCCTCCTCCTCCTCACCATCCACCCTCTCTTTCTGCCCTTCATCTCCAGCAGGGGAACGAATACCCTCCCCACCAGCACCAGCACCAGCACCAGCATCATTACCATCCCCATCCCTGTCATGCCCCCGCCCCTGTCCCTCCTTCTGCCCTCCCACCGCGTCATCCCCCCGCTCCTCCTCACCGCTGCCTACACGACCTGCTTTGCTCGCGCTGCCCTTCTTTTCCTTCACTGCCTTGGTCTGCTTCAACCCTCCTTCACCTTCCACTTCACTTGGCCCATCACTCTCCTCGTCGTTCTCCCTAGCGCTCTTCGTCTCACTCCCCTTATTGCTCTTCCAATTACTTTCCTCCTTATAACCCCCCTTATCACCCCCCTTATCACCCCCCTTAACACCCCCCTTATCACCCCCTTTATCACCCCCCTTATCGCCCTCCTTATCGCCCTCCTTATCGTCCTCCTCTCCTCGCTCCTCCTCATCCCGCCCAACATCTTCCGAATCACCCTGTTTCGCCTTCTCTCCCCTTTCAGCATCCGCCACGGGCCTCCTTGCATCCCCTCTGCTCTCCATTTCGTCCTCCTCGCCTTCCTTCCCTTCACCCTCTCCTTCTGTTGCTTCCCTCACATTCCCTTCACCCCTCGCTCCCTTCTTCCCCACCTTCTCTTTTACCGCCTTCTCAACCTCACTCTCCGCTGTCTCACTCTCCTCCGTCTCACTCTCAGGTGGCCCCTTCCCATAACCTGCAGCCTTGTTCTCATCTGCCTTACCCACCTTTCCCTTCTCGTTCTCACTCACACCAGCCAGCTCCCCACCAGTTAATGTGTCTTCCTTGCCTTCGATCCGCCCTACGCTCTTTCCCTTGCTTGTGCCAGGCAACTTCTTTGCCTTCCTCCCTGACCCAGGTGCAACTTCCTCCTCCACTTGCTCCCCTGCCTCCACCTCCTCCTCCCCTGCCTCTCCGCCCCCCTCGCTCCCATCCCCGTCATCACTCACATCATCAGCCTTTCGCTTCTTCACATGCCTCTTCTCACTCTCACCCTCACCCTCACCCTCAGCACCGTCCTTAACCCCCTCAACCACCTTCTTCACCTTTCCCTTATCCTCCTTTCTCCTTGCCTTCACTTTAATATCATCCATCTCTCCTCTCTCCCCTTCTCCCTCTCCCTCTCCCCCTCCCCCCTCTGCCACATCACCGCCAGAGCCTCTTGACTTCACCCTCTTCTTCACTCCACCCTGCCCCCCACCTGATTCTCGCTTGGCTCCCTTCCCCACTTCCTCTCCTCCCTCCTCCCCCTCCCCCTCCTCCTCCTCCGCCTCTTCTTCTTCCTCCTCGTCCACGGGGTCAGCGCCAGCAGTCTCCTCTGCATCGGCCACAATCACCGGCGTCTTGCTCACAGGAATATGGCTTATCACCACGCCTGGCTCTATCACTCTCCTATCCTCCTCCTCATTTCCCTTCTCCTCCCCATCCACCCCCTTTTCTCCATCGTCTCCCTCCTCTCCACTCTTCCCCTCCCCCTCTCTACTCTTTCCAGCCTCCCCGTCCTTACCCTCCTCTCCATCTCCACTCCCTTCTTCTTCACTCCTCCCATCCACGCCCATCCCTGGCTTTGCCTTTCCCTTCTTTCCTTCTGCCGCTGTCGCTCTCTTCTTCGTCTTTTTCTTCCCCTCTCCTATCACACTCTTTTTCTCCCCTTCCTTCGCCCTCTGCACCTCCCCGTCTGCTGCCTCCACCCCCTCTTCAGCAGTATCATCCCGTCCCTCACTCCCACCTCCCTCCCTCTCCACTTCCGCATCCCCCTCTTCTCCACTCCCCCTCTTCTCTTCACTTTCCCCGGCTCTTTCACTCTCAGCCTTGTCCCCAACCTTCTTCCCCTTCTTTCCCAACTTCTTCTCCTTCTCCCCCTTCTTCCTCGCCATCATTTCACTGAGCTCCTTCTCATCTTTCTCGCTCTCCTCTCCCGAACCCTCCACATCCTCTTCCCCACCCTCACCACCTTCCTTCTCTCCCCCCACACCCCCCTCACCACTGCTGCTCCTTTTCCCCTTATCTTTCTTCTTCTTACCAATCACTTTCTTCGCTGCCTTCTTCCCTGCTCCATTTCTCTCAGGCGCAACAGTTTCCTTTCCCTTCTCTCCCTCCCCTCCCGCCTCCCCTCCCTCCTCCCCTCCCTCCTCCCCATCCTCCTCCCCCTCTTCGACCGCCCGGGCAACCGTTCCATCCTCCTTCCGTCTCTTTCCTCCTCCTACCTCACCCCGTACTCCACTCTCCGCCCTCTCCTCATCCGCTCTTCCTTCCCGGCCCTCCACTTCCCCGCTCGCTTCAACCGCTGCTGCACGCTCCACACCTTCCACCTCACCCTCATCAGCCCCATCCGCACTCTCCCCGTCTGCACTCTCCCCATCCGTTTCACCTGCAGTCTCCTCGATATTGGCGTACCTCATACCACTCTTCCCACGCTTCCCACTCTTACTGCTTGTTTGTCTCTTCTCCTCACCCATCCCCACTCCTTCCACACCACCTCCTTCCTCCTCTCCCTCCTGCGATTCGACTTTGCCCTTCCTCCCTTCCTCAGCAGCATCAGCATCATCGTTATGACCATCACCAGCAGCCACAGCAGCAGCAGCACTTCCCTTTCGTTTCTTCTTCGTGACCCACACATCGTCACCACCTGCAACAGCGTCAGCATCAGCATCAGCATCATCAGCGTCAGCAGCATCAGCATCATCAGAAGCACCGGCCCCCCTCTCATCACCAGCAGCAGCATCACCTGCTGCCACCTCGGTCCCTTCCCCCTCCACCTTCCTAATCCCTTTCCTCTTCTCCGCTTTCCCTGCGCTAGTAGTCACTCCCGCACTCTCTCCCCCTTCCCCTCCCGCCTCCTCATCCACACCAGGCGACTCCTCCCCCCTCGATCGTATACCACCCGAGCCCCCCTCCCGCTCCTCCTCTCCCTCCTCGCCCAGCTCCTCACCCTCCCTGCTTCCTTTTTCCCTCACTCCCTTGTCTTTCCCTTCTGAGCCCTCCCCCCCTCCTCCCAGTTGCGCCATGAGCATCTCTTCCGCCTCCTCCGCCCCTGCATCGTCCAACCCAGCTCCATCTCCGCCCACCAATGCCTCCCCCTTCCCGTCTTGCTCTCCCGTATCCCCTTGTTCGTTAACTTCATCGCCAGCAGTACCAGCAGCGGCAGCAGAAGCATCACCAGCATCACTACCAGCGACAGCAGTTCCCAGCAGTTGGTTGAGCTCCCTCTCCTCCTCGTCGATATCATCTGCCTCCCTCTCCACCTCTCTTTCACCCTCACCTTCCCCACCCTCTCTGCCCTCTCTTCCTTTCCCCTCGCCCTCAATCTCCGGTTCCCCATCCCCCTCCTCCCTCACATTAGAGAGCCTAACACTGCTCTCGCCCTCCCCGCCCTCCCCTCCGCTGTGCAAACCAGCCCCACCACTCGCCTCTACTGCTCCCTGCTGCTCACTGCCCTGCTTCTCTCCTCCCACTTCTGCTCCCTTGCTACCCGCTTCCAGCTCTTTCTGCTGCTCCTGCTGCTGCTGCTTAGCCGGATCAACAGCCATGCCGTCACTGTCACTTCCACCGCCAGCTGAGGCCGACCCAGCCGCACTGGTGGCAGCAGCATCCGTAGGGGGTGGATTAACGGCATAGAAATTCGCCGCATCAGCAGCAATAGCAGCAGCAGCAGCAGCAGCAGCAGCAGCAGAAGGGTGAGCAGCAGCACGGTCTGCACCAGCAGTACCAGCAGCAGCAGCAGCAGGTGGAGGTTCAGTGTGAGCCATACGGGTCACTGCATCCGCTTGCTCACCACCATACTCCCCACTCGCTTCTCCTCCCACCTCATCGTCTCGCTTCACTGGCTCACCACCACCACCAGCACTGGCATCTCCCCCGCCAGCACCACCAGCCACACCACTGCTCTTGCTGCTGCTGTCACTGCCACCGCCATCAGCAGCCCTGCTGCCCAGCAGCAGAGGAACGGGTGGTTTCCACCCAGCCGGGCCAAGCACAGTGGAGTAGAGCTCAAAACCGCCCACAATCAGCGCAAACAGCACCACCACTATGCACACCCCGCTCCACACTCGCACGCTACCACACATGCCTCCCCACCCTCCTCCCCCACTACCTCCACCCCCACCACCCGGCCCACTACCACTCACATCCCCCCCACGCCGGCCCTTCTCCACGTCCCTCTCAGGCGACATGGTTCCCCAGCCATCCCCGTCAGTGACATCCCAATCCGGCTCCCACCCCCCGTCACTGCCTGCCCTGCCGCCTCCCCCAAATCCACCCTGATTTCCACCGCCAGCACCAGCAGCCCCAACAGCAGCGGCAGTTGCTGCAGTGGCGCCATCTGCCTTGGACTCATGTGGAGGAGTTGCCCGGGTGAGAATCGTCCGCGTGGCGGCCTGCTTTCTGCCACTGTGCGCAGTGCTCTGCGCGCTGGAGCGAGCTGCATTCGCACCAGCAGCACCACCGGCAGTCGCTGCAGGGGTGGTAGCGGACGCAGCAGCAGCAGGTAGGGTCCGAGGTTGAGGAGGGGGGGGTGCGGATGCGGGTGCGGATGGGGTGGTGAGGGTAGTAGAGGTGGCGGTGGAGGAAGTGGTGGAGAGCCAATCAGAGGGCTCGGGGATGTGCCAGCCGTCGTTGATCTGCGTGGTGTCTGATGGCCTGGCGCACGGATGGGGAGAGGGGGAGGGAGGGGCAGAGGGAGGGACAGAGGGAGGGACAGAGGGAGGGACAGAGGGAGGGACAGAGGGAGGGACAGAGGGAGGGACAGAGGGAGGGACAGAGGGAGGGACAGAGGGAGGGACAGAGGGAGGGACAGAGGGAGGGACAGAGGGAGGGACAGAGGGAGGGACAGAGGGAGGGGCAAAAGGAGCGGCAGAGACAAGGATACGAAGAGGGACATGAATTTGACAACGGGAGAGAAAAGAGGCGAGGGGAAGGGGAAGGTAATGATTAAGAGAGAGAAAGGGATGTAGTTGGGTGCGTGCAGAGACATATCGGCTGCTGCATGTCAGACGTCTATCATTGATACCGTTGGACTGAAAGAGGGTGTCCTCGTAAAAATAGGGCTCTTTGAAAGTGTAATGGATGACTGGACAAGGCTGGAGGCAAGGGAGGGTAGCGGGTGAGAAAGAATGAGGAACCAGAGACGTAATCTGACTGGGATTAGAGAAGAGGGAGGAGATAAACGAGGATTGGTTCAGGGGTTTGCGTTGCGCTTTCGCTATAGGCACAAGCGCAAAAGGCAGAATTCCCACCGATGGCAACGCTCACGCTGATGCGAGAGATTCACATCACATGGAGACTGAATGTGTTTAGCATTTACAAGTCCGAGTCACTCCACACTTCCATGACACTCCGTAATCCACACGAACATCGGCAATCCACAATTCAAACTCTCGGGATCAAAGTAACGTCACTCCCGCGTTCCTCACCTGGCTCGGCTGACGACGAGCTTCGATTTGCTCGCCGCTTTCTTCCCGCCTGCCGTCCGCCGCGATCCCTCCCCCGATCGCTCCATTGCCACTCACCACGCCCACCGCGGCGGGCGGGGGAGGCTCGCACAACGTGCAGACGTCGCACGACCCGCAGGCCACACTGCCTGTGCTGGCTCGGTGGTTGTGGCTCGGGGGACCTAGCGTCGCGGCTGTGCAGCCGCGTGTGAATGCCGGTTTCGGATTCAACTCGTGCACGGTAAGATCGTCAGGAGTGACGATGGAACTACCACAACGGGAAGTGGATGAGCAATGCTGCGGTTTGACTGTGTGCTTGGAAAATCGGGGGTGCTGCTGGTGACTACATACATACAGAGATGACTACCACATAATTACTGATGTCACCAGCTGGCTGAAGCAAGAATTACAGATTCGAGGTTGGGTGGCTGGTAGGGGGATGGCTGATGGTCGGAGTAGGTGGCAGTGAGGGAAAGTGGAGGTTGGTGGGGGGGATTTCCAGCCAACGAGAACAACGTGTTCCTTGTATTCAGAAAGTAAATCCAGAAAGGTTGAAAGAAACTTCCGAATGTAATTTTATTTCGGAAGGTGAGTTCATCTAAGAATTAGAGGTCCAGAATCAAATAAAGTAACTCACGAGAAGTTTCCTAAAATGTAAAATATTGGCACCCAGAGTACCCAGAGTTCATTTAGCGGTGAATCCTTCTGGAGAATAATGGGCCCTTCTATTTATTCATTGGATTTTGTTGGGCTGAGAAAAAGCCCTTAGGATCTTTTGCAGAGACTAAGTCCCAGCTGTAGAGACTTGAGACTTGGAGCAGTGCAGCGGAAGTTGAGACAGTTGAACCCTTGTACTAGTATGTGAGAACAAGTGATTGATTAAAGAAACAAGCATACAGCAATATATAGAAGATAAGAAAGCAGTTGCAGAGTACAGTTACAGGAACGGTTTATCGAGTCGCATAGCGACTCGATTGCCGCTTCGGTTACCATCCGTGATGCTGTAACGATCAGTCGCAACCTCCAGTTGCGACCTTTCGGGTCTTTTCGCATTCTTTGTCCGCCCCCTCGTGTAACCTCCGTTGACTCGCGTGCTCCCTTGTAGTCTTCCTTGAGTGTAGTGTTACACTTCAGAAACGCTTAAGTTCTTTGAGATATTTCCAACACTCCCCTTCGTTTCTGGAGTGCTGTCATGTTCGGGTCCGGTGACGTTTGTTTGCCCGGTCAGGAGCATGCAGTAGTCGAATTTTGCTTTCGCCAATTTCTTCGTCAGGTAGTCTGCGGCCATTTCTGTCGTCGGGCAGTAACTGAGTTGAAGTCTCCCCTTCGCGATTTCATCTTTGACGAAGAAGTACCGCAGGGCGATGTGCTTGGTTCGGTTGGCGAAGCCGTCCTTGTTTGCGATTTTGATCGCAGATTGGTTGTCGCAGAGGAGTGAGAAGGCGGGCAGGGTCGCAATCTTCGCTTCCTCGAGTAACTCTCGTAGATAGAGTCCTTCCTTGGTCGCAGTACAAAGGGCGATATACTCTGCTTCGGCCGAGGATAGTGCGATTAACTCCTGTTTGCTCGACTGCCAGGAGATAGTTCCGATAGGTTCTAGTCGGTAGATGTAGCCCGTCCTAGACCGTCGATTTTCGCTGTCTCCCGCGTGGTCGGCGTCGACGTATCCGAGTAGTCGTACGGACGGTGTTGTTGCTTTGCTGTAGGTGAGCCCGATCGTCGGCGTGGAGACGAAGTAGAGTAGTGCTCGATTGAGTTCCTCGAGATCTTCCTGTTTCGGCTGCTTCAGATGTGTCGCCAACTGACTCGCACTATAGGACAGGTCGGGTCGGCAGGTTACTGATGCGAATAGTAGGCAGCCGAGCTTCTGTTGATACTCCTGGATTTGTTTCGCGGGGAGTTTTGTAGAGGCGCTGCTGTTGTTCCCGTAGCGGTAGGGAGTTGGGACTGCAGTCGGTGTTAGACCGAATTTCTTCGCGACGGTGCTTGAGTACTTTCCAGCGTGTAGGTAGAACGCCGTGTCGTCTTCGACGACGTTCAGTCCTAGGTACTGCGTAACTTCGTCGGACACCGTGAGAGTTAAATCTTCTTTCAGCTCCCCTTCGAACCAGGTGGCGATGTCGGTAGTGGAGCCGATGTAGAGCAGGTCGTCGACGTAGACGATGAGCAGAACATACTCTCTTCCCTTCTGCAGTCGGTACATCCCTTGGTCATGCGGTAGCTGTAGGAAGCCGATTTTTACGAGACGGCTGTGAAGATGCTGCTGCCAGAGCCGCGGGGCTTGCTTGATCCCGTATAGGGATTTTGTCAGTCGGCATATTTTCGTGGGGTCGTCGATGAATCCGTGGGGTTGTTCGACGAAGATCTCAGCGTCCACAGGTGCGTATAGGAACGCATTCGCGACATCGATTTGGCGTAGTGGTAGTGTTTTCGTGGCCGCGACGGCGAGTAGGATGCGTAATGAGGTGTGACGGGAGACTGGAGCGAAGGTTTCTGTGTAGTCGGTTCCGTATCGTTGATCGAAGCCTCGTACGACCCATCGAGCTTTGAATCGTTCGATGGAGCCGTCTGAGTTGGTCTTGATGCGGTACACCCATTTCCCCGAGAGAACGTTCTTCCCGTTGATGCTCGTTGCAGGTACCAGTTTCCATGTTTCTCGGTCTTGCAGAGCTTTTAACTCCTTTTCCATCGCTTCCTTCCATTTTACCTTATGTTCCCCCCCCAGAGCCTGCGACAAGGTTGAAGGCTCACGCGTAGAAGGCGGCGGCGGATGCTGGACGGAGACCCAGAGGCCTAGAATCTGGAGTCCCGTGGGTGTGTGTCGAGGGGAATTGTCATTCCCGGAATAAGCTGCTTCGTCACCGTCTTCGGGGTCAGGTAAGAAATTGGGGCCGATGCGTTCCGAAATATTCGTGTCGACGGGGTGAGGTGTAGCGTAACCTTGGTCGGCGAAGTGGTAAAAGGTGTCGAGGTTGTTGCTATCGAGGGGATTATCTTCATCGAGTGGAACAGGTACGGAACAGAATGGGAGTGGCCCGGCAGCTTCCGAGGCTCCAGGTACGTCTTCTTCTGCTGCGTCAGCTTCGGCAGCACGATCGGCGAAGGAACGAAGTCCCGAGAGACCGTCGGTGGGGTCTTGTGTGTTGGCAAGGTTGTCCAGGTAATGCTGTAGAGTCAGTCGTTCGTAGAAGATAACGTCTCGTGATGCCACCGTGTTTTTGTCTTGTATGTCGAGAATTTTCCACGCGTGAAAATGTTTCGCGATGCCGAGGTGGAGTCCCCACCGAGCTCGTTGTGTGAAGCGTCCTGCTCGGGCTGTGTGGGGTCTGTACTGTACCATGCAGCCAAAGACTCTGAGTAATTTTGTGCTGCCCCTTTTTCTTGTCCACAACAGGTGCGGTGATGCGTTGTTGGGAAGTGATGACGAGGACAGCAGGTTGTGCAGGTGAACAGCATGTGTCATCGCGTCTGGCCACAGTGTGGTTGGCAGTCGCATCCCCTGAAGCAGTTTTCGCATCGTCGTCTGCAAGGTCCGATTCATGCGTTCTGCTACCCCCTGCTGTTGGTGAGCATAGGGCAGGGACACCAGGCGTCTGATTCCCCTTTCCGCCAGATAGGTCCTGAAGCGTTGTGACTGGTATTCCAGTGCACCGTCTGACTGGAAGCTCTTGAGTTTGAGTCCTGATTCTCGTTCGGCGATGGGGAGCCATGTTGTGAAGGCTTCGAAGGCTTGGTCGCGCGTTTTGAGATTGAAGTGCCAGACATATCTGGTTGCGGCGTCGATGAAAGTGATGACGTAGTTAAAGTCGGCTTCGGCGTCGTCTCGAGGCATGTTTAAAATATCGCTGTAGACTTTTTCCATCGGAGCGTAAGTAGGTGCGCTTGGGTTGTGATGGGATGGAAAAGGTTGATGAGGAAGATCTGCTTCGGGGCATGTGAAGCACCGTGCGCGTGGTCGTCGAAGTTCTTGACCGCTCGTCGTCAGAAGGGCGTTGCGTTCTAACACCTCTGCTTGGATTGTTTGAAGTATTGTGCTGTTTGCAGGGTGTCCGAGGCGTTGGTGCCAGATGTCGTCGGGAGCACGGTGACCGGGCGAGCGGTGGTAGATGTCGGCGTTGGAGAAGAACGCGACGACCGAGGCGGGACTTCGACAAGCTTCTCGTGTGGCGGGCATAAGTTGGTCTGCTTCCGTTGGCGGTCCTCGTGTTGATGGTGGTGGTACTCGGCTGGGTCCTGCTGCCGATACTGCAGGTGATGGTTTTGTTGGGACACTTGCGGGTACTTGTCTTTCTTGTCTGATAACTGCTAATGCTCGTGTTCTCTCTGCTGCAGGTATGGTGTTGGAGTGCCAGAAGCCGTCACTGTCGAAGTCGGGATCAAGATCCGGCGGGTGAGTCCAGGCGGCGAACGATACGATACCGTCGCTGTCGGCAGTACCGCGGTCGGGGACGAAGTCCAACACGAAGACGCCGGACTTCAAGAGGGCACGACCGATGAAGAGGCCGCCTTTCCCGTGGTAAAGCCGGAACTCGTTGGAGTAAGAGTCGCACTCCAGGTGAATCCCTTTGGCCATTAGTTGGCTTACGCTTAGTAGATTGTATCCCAGGTTGTCGACAATGAGCACTTTGTTGAGCTGCAGTATTACGTTTGTTTCCATGGATTGTAACTGAACCACGCCTTGTCTGTTTGTCTTCAGGTTTTCGTTGTTGGCGACTGTGATGACGACGTCGCGGTTGAGTCGTTTCTCCTGTTGCACGAAGCGTCCCGAGGAGCACATGTGTTGACCGCAGCAGCTGTCCAAGAACCAGGTGTTTCGCCCGGTGGGTTCGGCGTTGGCGACTGCAGCGTATGTCGGGTTGACTTGAAGTCCTTGCGAGCGCGGCGGCGGGAATTCCTCTTCGTCTGGTGCGTAAGTGGGTGGTGAACCGGGTGCGCAGTTGTCGATGTGTACCATGCAGTTGATGATGTTGGGTGTTTGTTGTGCAGATGTTGAAGAGCGCCTTGGAGGACTTGCTTGAGTGGAAGCGACTTGTGGGTCTGCTGCACGGTAAACGCGAGGGCGGTTGCAGTTGACTTTGGAGTGCCCGGAAGTTTGGCAGTTGTGGCAGAACGGCGGTACGATGGTGAGTCCTCGGTTGTCGCGTTGATCTTGCTTGCTGCGTCGGTTGTAGTTGTTGTCATTTCTTCTTTGAGTGTAGAAGACTAACTGCTGTTGCTTCCTTGGTTGTCTTTCCTCGAACAGATCCATCTCCTGTTGTTCAGCGTGAAGCTCGGCGCAGAGGTGCATCTCCGAAATTCTTCCGTGGGCTCGAAGAAGTGATCGTGTGGTTCTCCATTCTGGCCCGAGCCCGGCGAGGACAAGTGTCACGAAGCTTTCTTCAGTGATCGTTCCTCCGCACCGAAGCAGGCGGTCGCGGAGGGTCTGGCAGCGACTCATATACTGCATCGCCTTTTCCCCGGTCTTCATCTGTATTGTTGTCAGCTGTTGCATGAGTCTGCTTTGTGTCACGCTGTCGTTTGCTTGGTAAAGGCACTTGAGGTGGTGCCATGCGAGTTCCGCGGAGTTCCCATAACTCCGATATGTTCTGATGCTCTGCTGCTCTTGTGGTGACAGGTTCCGCAGAAGGACTGTATACGCCAGCAGCGACTGATACGTGAAGATCTCTTGCTCCTTTCCAGTGCCGTTGCTTGGAAATGGCAGGGACCCGTTGAAGTATCCCAGAAGATGCGCGGCTTCCATCAACAGCTCGAACTCGAAGCTCCAGGTAAAGAAGTCATGTCCGTTGAACGGTGAGGATGTTTGTAGCTTGATGACGTGTGAGAATTGAGCCTGGAGATTGAGAATCTCGTTTGGTGTTTGTTGTGATGCAGCTGCTGTTGGTTGGGCGCGGGGCGGCATGAACTCGAATGTCCCCGGTGAAGAATGATAAGGCGCAAAGGTAGGCGCTTGGTTGTGTCGCCCGAAGGATGAGTTATCGAGACTCATCGGCGCTAATCCCATATTCCCTCCATTGCTCTGTGTTGAGTGCGCAGGTGTCCTTGTCTGCTGTTGCTGGTCGAAGTGCGACATGAAGCTGAAGAATCTCTCCATGAGATTTGGGTCCACACTTGAAGAGGGAGACGGAGTCACCATCTCTGGTACTCTTCCCGTTGTTTCTTGAGCAGTCCCGGTCTCTGTCTGCAGTCCTGAGGTGTGCAGACCAGAGTTGCCGTGTTGAGTTTCTTGGCCGCTGGGTGAGCCCGTAGAGACTTTCTTGCCCTTGTTGTCCATGTCTTGCAATCAATGAAGTCGTTGAATTGAGTTGAGTTGCAGGTTGTTGATAGAACGTAGTTGCTGGGAGTTTGGTCTCTGACCAGCTCTCATACCATGTTGGGCTGAGAAAAAGCCCTTAGGATCTTTTGCAGAGACTAAGTCCCAGCTGTAGAGACTTGAGACTTGGAGCAGTGCAGCGGAAGTTGAGACAGTTGAACCCTTGTACTAGTATGTGAGAACAAGTGATTGATTAAAGAAACAAGCATACAGCAATATATAGAAGATAAGAAAGCAGTTGCAGAGTACAGTTACAGGAACGGTTTATCGAGTCGCATAGCGACTCGATTGCCGCTTCGGTTACCATCCGTGATGCTGTAACGATCAGTCGCAACCTCCAGTTGCGACCTTTCGGGTCTTTTCGCATTCTTTGTCCGCCCCCTCGTGTAACCTCCGTTGACTCGCGTGCTCCCTTGTAGTCTTCCTTGAGTGTAGTGTTACACTTCAGAAACGCTTAAGTTCTTTGAGATATTTCCAACAGATTTATCCAGATTGTGCCGTTTTCAGCCGAAAAAACTGAAATAAAGCACATTTTAAGATATGATATGCCGCCAAAAATATATTATTTTGATGGAATCATCGAGGTGCTAAATACATGACATTTTTTAGGATGGTTGTCTGAAATTGTTGTGTAAGCTCCTTCTAGTTTGTAGTTTGTTATACCGGTAACGGTTTCTTCAGCCTCCCCTTCTGTCCCCGCCGCGCGCCCCGCAAACCATTTTGAAGCTCTGTCAGGGCAGCCCGCCATGCCACACAGCCGCCATCTCTCCCTGTGAGTCCCATGACCTGCTCCAGCCCTGCGTCACCCTTTCCCAACCCGCAAGACCGAAGCTCACTGAATTCACAAGCTCAGTGCAGAACTCCTGCAGCGGAGAGAAACCTATTTCAGCAGCCAAGTTCCCAACCATAGTTGCTAATCAGTCCGACGATTGTCCGTTCCTCGCTTTCCTGAAAAGCTCGCTCTCGTCATACCGCTCCGTAACGCCTCCTGCTCATTTAGCCGCTTTACCAGTCGCTCATTCTACACCGCACTGGTTTACGCGCATATAGACAGATCCATGGCCTCCCTGCCTACCTTTACGCCGACTCCAGCCAAGAAAAGAGATCTCGCGTTTCCGTCAACACCCGTCAGGCAGTGCACACCACGCACGGACGCTAACGTAAGCTCTCCGAAACTCGTAATTTTCGCTATCGCTTGAGTATTTCTTTTAGGGCTTGCAAATCCGGTGCTAATCTCCTCGCAATTCGTTCCTACGCAGCCTTCCGCGTCCGACCGTTTTATTCCGAGCCGTGGAGGCCTTTCCAAGTCCCAAGCGCGCATGCTGCTTGCTTCTGGCGCATCGCGAGCTCCAGCCAGCAATCCTCACGGGGACTCCACCGCTGTGGCGACGCCAGCAAGGGTTAGCAACCCGACGCCATCATGCCATCGTCACCCGTCGCGTCTTGCACTCTTTACGAGTACCTACCAGCAGCCGCGGACGAAATTCTCTACTCATAACCGTTTTAGTATTTTCCGTTTCGTGCAGGAGAGCTATCGGCGGCAGCTGAACTCGAGCCTGCTGGACGATCTGCACACGGCCTCGGGAACTCCTCGCCGCATTCTGCAGTTCGGAGCGGCGGACAACAACGAGGCACACGGCGCCGATGGGTCCACCAAGGGCGGCCATCGCCTGGACAAGAGCAGGGACTTTTGGGCGAGTCCGACGTCAGGAGCGGCGGCGACTGGCGCCAAGACAAGCGCGAAACGCGGCACTCCGCTGAAGCTCCAACAGAAGGTACGCCGTCGCGGCCCTCCCTTTTGCTCGTCGAGCCTGCTTTCTTCTTTTAAAATTCATATTTTTACGGGTTCCAGATTCCATCTGTTAACGATTCGTGCTGCTGTTTCTCTTTATTTCAAATCTCGACAGCACGCGGATCTGGTACTGGACGCGCCGGAAATGCCGGACAACTTCTACCTGAACCTTCTAGACTGGAGCAGCAAGGGCGTGGTGGCGATCGGGCTGGGGAGCGCCGTGCACGTGTGGAACAGCGAGACGGGCGCGGTGAGCGAGGTGGTGGCGGGCGACAGCGACGTGACGTCCGTCGCGTGGGCCGACAACGGCGCGCACCTCGCCGTCGGCTTCGAGGACCACGCGGAATGCGTGCAGCTCTGGGCCGTCGAGCCATGCAGAAAGGTGCAATTATCTGCGACATGCGGCTGCAATGACTGATCTCATTGGATTTTTTTCCGAAGCATGGTCGTCGATTTGTTTCGGTTACTGATCGTCTGATCGTCTGATCGTCTGATCGTCTGGCGATGTGACAGATTCGCGACTTGGCGGGCCACAGCGACCGCGTGAGCGCGCTGCACTGGGGAGCGTCGTACCAGCTCGCGACGGGCAGCCGAGACACATCCATCATCACACACGACGGTACGCCCGACGCTTGAACATCCTCACCAACATCTACCCCGCTACAAGTTTTGTGAAACATTCTCACTGCGAAACAAAACTAATAAATTTGCTGTCCCTCTTTTTGCAGTGCGAGCGGCGAGGCACGCGGTAACCCGCCTGCGCGGAGTGCATAGAGACGAGGTGTGCGGGCTCCGCTTCGCGCCCATCTCCTCTGCCGGCATCAGCGGCGGATCCGCCGCCACCGCGCTCGCCAGCGGCGGCAACGACAACCTTGTCGCCGTCTGGGACCTCCGCCGCGCCGCTTCCGCTTCCGCCATGGCGGGAACGGCCGGCGCTGTCTCCGCCGATTATGCCGGTGCTGGTGCTTCCGGCATGGAAGCGAACCCGAACGCGCAAGCGTGCCTGCATCGGTTCGCGCAGCACCAAGCGGCGGTCAAGGCCCTGGCTTGGTGCCCCTCGCAGGTAACCTCCTTCCTGAACTCTTGATGCGCATCGCGTCGACCTTCGCGTTACACATTTAGCAACGCTAGTTAGAGTTCCCGGCTTATATGACGTTCGATTATTTCTTATTTTTTCCCGTGCGTGTCGGTTTCAGCGGCACATGCTGGCGACGGGCGGAGGATCGAGCGACAAGAGCATCAAGCTGTGGAACGCGCAGGCGGGGTCGCTGCTGTCGTCCACGTTCACCGGGTCGCAGGTCACGGGGCTATCGTGGGGGCCCTCCGCGCGCCACCTAATCAGCGCGCACGGCTACACCGACAACGCCGTCTGCGTCTGGGCCATGGGCGCGAGCGCGGGCGCGAACGCAGGCGCAGGCGCAGGCGCGGGGACGAGCGTGGGCGCGGGCGTGGGTTCTACCCTGCTGCAAGTGGGCAAGCTCACGGGCCACCGCGGGCGTATCCTTCACATGGCCGTGGTAAGCTCGCGCGCCCAACTGCTCTTCCTTGTGATTATTTCACTCGGGGCGAGGTGTTGGGTTGGATACGAAGGCAGCTAGCTGTTATTCGCGCGGCCGTTTGTCTTGAGATCTAACTGATCCTATCCCTGTTATTCGCGTGCCTGATATCCCTGCTGTGGCCCGCCAGGCCCCCGACCGGCGGACAGTGGCCACGGCCGCAGCCGACGAGACGCTCCGCGTGTGGAAGCTCTTCGGGTCGCCGCCCCCCGCTGCGGAAGGCGGGAGAGGGGAGAGCGGGATGGAGGAGGGGGTGCGGAAGAGGGAGAGAGAGGAGAGGTGGTTCGGGGGGGCGGGCGGCCAGGCAAGTGAGGCGATGCGAGGATCCAAGAGCAGCATAAGGTGAGATACTGATGCCCTTCATTTCTTTGACCTTCTCCCTCCCCCCGGTTCCCCCCCCACCCCCCCCCCCATCTCCCCGCTTTTTTCTGGTTGCTTGTGCTTTGTCGTCGTTTCTGGTGGTGCGTTTTGAGGTGCGATCGCCCTGTTCCGTTCCGTAATTTGGTCCCTTTTTTTTTCCCGTCTCCGTCTGTATCATACTGACCAAGCTGACATACTAACCGCCTCTCCTCCCCCTTCTCTCCGCCTCCCCTCTTCCCTCCCTCCGTCCCCTGTCCCTGTGTTCCCCATCATTTCCCCCCATCCCGCCCCTATCGAGGATCTTTTCGAGCCAACACGCGCCTACCACCCTCCCTCTCGTCGCTCGGTCGCCTGCTGCGACCAAGACCCAAGGCACGTCCAATTCCAAATTCCGTTCCGTGTTCCGCGTACGTTTGGCAGCCGTTAGCTCTCATCACGGCTCGGTCCTCGCTTTCACACGTGGATGCTGACCTTTCTTTCCTTTGTTTCGTCGCTTGCAGACCGACTAATTCTATCGTTCATACTGAGGAAGCCATGGGACTTATATCTCTCCATGGAGATGCCCGCCGCCGCTGGCGGCAACGGGCATCCGTCGCCGCTGTGCCGGTTACTGTGGATCACGCACCCGGCGGCGAACGCGCGCAGTTTCTGTGCCGACTGCCATCCCTTGAGCCGCCATCGTCTGCCACGCGCACGCTATCTGCAGCCGGGACACTACTGCCAGATCGTGGGTGTTGTTGACTGCCAGTTTATGAGTCGATGTGGAGATGGTAGGAGGAGGTGAGGTCTGGATCTGAACTGAACGAACCCTGTCTCAAGCCACCTCGCTGAACTGGACCAAGCTGTTCTGTTTCTACACCCTGTGGACATTTAGTAGCATTCTATGCTGTGCTAACTATAGTCCCTTCAAATAAAACATTTCTGAAAGCAACCGTGACTCTTGGCTTGCCATTTGTGCTAGTTTGTAGACAGATTTTACTGTTGATCTGACGATTTTCTTCTTGCCGAATTACATGGAGAATCAACATTGTGCTTGTAATACGGTACTAAGTCAGCAATGACGTTTTTAGCTGCATATTGAAGCTGGTGTACTGGTTCTGGTCTGGTCTGGACGCTGTACTTGGGACGCGTCGCTCGAGCAAGATCACTAAGGGCTTGGTACGCGACCCTGTTTCCAGGGTCAATGACAGTGACCTGGAACCTCCACCGCACTAAAAAAGCTTTACAAATTGCAGCCAACTCTTTGCGAGCCCTGAAATCCCAGACTCTGGGGGCCGATCTTCTGTCAGCGACCGCGACCTACTGGTGTGGAGCATTTGGGCGGAGGAGATAGGTTCGAACTTTCAGAGAGGTTGAAAATGGTGTGGTATGTTCTTGCGTGTTTTGGGGCAGTTTTCAAGTTGGGCCATCAGCCGAAGTTGGCCCAAGAGTGTAGCTTGCCTTTATTTTCTGGGCGATATGCCTATATAGCGCGTATTTCCATGATTTTACAGTTGCAGAAATTGTCCATGTCGAACCCGATACAGTTTCTGGTTCTCCGACTCGCCATCAATTTTTAGTCGAACATACCATTTGAATGGACATTTTTCGAGACCGCTTCCCCGTCATAATGGCTATCCCAGAAAACCAGCCCTCTGGGCAATTCGGGTAGGGATAATTAGGCTTACTGCATGCGCAAGCTACACTCGCGCCAATTTCGGATGCTCTTAGTCAAAACAATGCGTGTTGCAGAGTTCTTAGTGGTCGAACAACCCGCAGTTGGTTGTAAATGTTCCAACTAGACCTCACTGTGTACATGTTCAACCAGATCGAAACCATATGTAATGCACTAAACCCTTTTGCAAACTCAGATGATCCGGGCTGTGAAGTATTTGGGTTAGAATCTTTGAGGTGAAGTTGTGGTGGTGGTGAAAGGAGAAGTACAGTTGATGTCCACCCTTATCGCTGCTCAGCTCGTTGCCCAATCAAAACCACGTCCCTAAACCCCGGAAATACGGGCAATGTGATATCCGTTAGTGTCCCGTAATATACGCACAGTGCCCCGTCATCATGACGTCGGTGACCATCATGTGGCATAGGACAACCCGACCACAGTGGCATTTTTTACGCCGCATGACTGTGCACCGTTGTCGCAGTTACGAACTTACGACGCTTATGTCTCGTAAACGCCTCATTTGAAATCTGAGGGTGAAACTCACGGCACGACGTACGCCCTCATGGGGTTGAAAATGCGCCGCATGATTATTGTGGATTGACGTGGCTGATGACAGTACATTGACCCCAAGTTCGAAGGGCCCCTATCTCTCGTCACGGTAATCCGGGTCACTTAGCTAACAAAGCACTACAAATAGTACGCCCGTTTATCGCGCTACCCATGGGCATTGTCGCTGACCTCGTTCCGCATTCGTAGATTGAACATGCACCAAATGTACATGTCCAATTCCAACACCAACCCCTCCAAATACGCTGCTCGCCCTGCAAACTGTGACGCGAGAGGCATGAAAGAGAGAATTACAGAGAATGAGAATCACTCGCCACCTCCATCAATCACTCCTCACCGCCACACCACTATGCCGCGCGTTCACAGTCGAGCGCAGGTACTGCTAGAGGTGAAGCGCACAATATGCGCGCATCACACCATGTATTCCCACCTATGCCAGGAGGACTTGGCGAGATGGTGCTACACCCGTTTCGGTATCCTCCCCGACCGCTCCACGGTGGGGAAGATTCTGAAGGACGTCGCCCGTTGGGACGCCAACGCCGCGATTGGCGCCTCACGCCGCATCCGTCAGGGTCGTCACCCGGACCTTGAGGCGCTTCTGTGTCGCTGGATCGAGAGCGCCGCGCCCGCCGGAGTCCCTCTCACCCTGCAAACCATTCAAGCCAATGCCATGATCATAGCGAGGGCGCTCAACAAACCAGATACCTTCAAAGGGCCGCTCGGGTGGGTCCGACGTGCTCTCCGTCGACTGAACATCCGCTGCATGAAGCAGCACGGAGAGGCGGGAGATGCTGACTTGGGCATAGTCATGACGTGCAAGTCCCAGCTCCCGGCACTTCTCCGTCATTACCGAATGACCCCCCGCGATGTCTTGAACTTCGACGAAACGTGCCTGTTCATCTCGGTAGTGCCGAAAAAGAGTTGGAGTCGACACCACTGGCCTAGGCGCAAGCAAGCTAAGGAGCGTCTTACCGTCGGAGTGTTGTGTAATGCGGATGGCAGCACGGTTTGGCGTCCCCTCATCGTGAGCAAGACGCGTCGCCCAGTCGACTTCCGCCCCAACTACGACCCGTCTTCTTATTGCTACTGGCGTAGCAATGAGCACGGATGGATGACGAGCGCGGTACGTAATACGCACATCCTATGCTCGGCGATGTCCGCATTCATGATACACGCCATTACACCCTACCCCAGAATGCCGTTCGCCATTTCGTAAATCTTCCCTTTACAATTTCCCCACCCTTCTCCTTATTTTTCCGTTTACGTCGTCTCCTCCGCCGCATCCAGCTTTTCACGCACTTTATGGAGCAGCTGAACACTGCGATGTTTGCGGAGGGACGTCGCGTAATAGTAATGGTCGACAGCGCCTCCTCCTACGCACTCCAATCGCCCGACGCCGTGACCGAGGATCTGTTCGGATTTCGCACTCGAAGCCTCAGCCACCTCCGCATCATCTATCTTCCGCCCAATACGACGGCCTTTACCCAACCATTCGATCAAGGCATCATTGCCATGGTGAAGGCTCGCTATCGGAGCATGTGGCTGGCGGAATTGGTCCGAGTGTGGGGGGAGTCCGATGCAGCCCGCCGCATGTCCCGATGGCGCCCCAACATGAGGCAGGTTGTCGAATGACTCTACGACGCCTGCCTCAGTGTGGGCGCCCGCACCATCTAGCGCTGCTGGTGGCGCACGGGCTGCCTCCCCGTAGAGTGGGCGGCGGAGATGGAGCATGTGCCGCTGCCAGTGCTCTCGTGCGACGCTCTCGCCGCCGACGAAGTCGATGAGGAGGAGGAGGTCGAGGATCCTGAGAACACCGTCGCTGCCGAGATCGCGGGAGTGGGGTTGCAGATCGAGTCCCTCGCCTTCGGCCCATGTGCGATGGCGGCGGAGCAGTTCGTCGCCATCGACGACTCCCTCCCCATATGCGTGGCGCCGGGGGAGGACCCTCTTTCCCGCGAGCCCCGCGTGCCCGCACCCCCAAGCGCTTGGGAGTCGCCTCCCCGTGAGGACATGGGGAGCTTCGGCGACGCAGAGGATCGTGCGGCACGTCGGGCTGCGCGGGTGGCCACGGAGATGTTGGTCGGCTATGCCAGCGCGACCAACATCTCCCCTCGCGACCTCCGAGTTCTCTTTGACATAAGGAACCTGGTGGTCGTCGAGCGGCTGGAGCGCGCCAGTCCCCTTCCGGACCTGAACGCGCCGCCTCCTCGGGTGGGGCGCGTCCTGCCCGCCTCCATCGTGGACTCGGAACGCCGCGCTGAGCTCATCCGACACAGCGTGGACGCCGTGATGGATGGCTTCCCGCCATCAGCGGAGTGGATGCGCCACATTTGGGATGTGGCGCATGAGTGCTGTCTTCTGGAATAGCTGCAATGGTTCTTAAGAGGCGAGAGATGGGAGGGAACGTAAGTTCCCTCCTAACGTTTTTAGTACTCACGCTGGTGTTTCATCTGTGGTGTATGTGTCGAAGTCCTTCTACGTTCCCGCTATCTCTTGCTGTGAAATGTGGATGGAGAGTTGGATGGAGTTGGAGAGAGTTGGTGTTGGTGCACCGTAGTGTTTCTTGTGCCTGGTCCCTGTTCGGTGTGCGCGGGTCACTAAGTTTCATGTACTGAGGCGAGTAGAGTGTCGAAGTTAGCGATGAACTCATGTAATTGCGACAATGAACAGCGTTACTGTTCAGGATTTAATACCCCATACGTTGCCACCCAAGCCCACACCACTACCGCCAAATCGGTTACCATATTGCTCGTGCGAGAACCACCTTTGCCCGTGGCGAGGGCAAGCGAACTGGGTGCGCGATTGAATCCCCAGCACCCTGAAATCTTGTGAGACTCTGTCGCGCCTCGATTGTATTCAGACAAGGCTGGAAAATTCATGTTGTCGTTGTCTGCGGGCGGTTGGGGCTCATCCCGTACGGTCCTTGCATCTAGGCTTCTGTTCAGGTTCAGACAAAATCAAGGTTGGACCATCACCGCAACACGACAACGCGTGACCACTCACCGAACTGAGCCCAAAGGGGCTGTCCGCATTTGTGTCATTACCTCATTTTTCCTGGGGCCCCGGTCGCAAGGAGGGCGATAGAGGGTATTCTCTGCAGTCTGCCCTGATTCGTCAGTAGTACTATTTTATCAAGCCTGTTGAAGTAGTGAAAAAAAAGGGAGGTCAGGTCACGTTTTTCTACCAAAGCGTTCAAAGCGATTATTTTCTGACAGGGTACGTCGAGAAACAAACCCAACTAATCTAGCTCCTCTGTACGCGCGAAGGTGTAACTGCTCACATGCAGTGCAGCGCAGCGCACATCCCAAATGAACAAACTACAGGGCAGCGCGCAAAACAAGCTCAGGTGCCTCTCCCACCCAACTCAACGACCAAGCGAGTCTGCTGCGACCAAGTGAAATTGGATTTTTGGCTTGCGAGCAAGCTTAGACAGAACTAATCCGAGACGATCCGCCCGAACAATAGAAGAATAGTGGCCAACTATTCTTGTGAACCGTACAACAACCCTAACGTCGAAACGCGCCGCCGCTGGTTTCCCGCGCGGAACAATAGTGCGACTATCCCATCAAAAGCAGTGCTTTCTGTGGTGTCCGCAACCCGCGCCGCTTATGCCGCCGCTTTCGTCGCATCAACGGCCATGGCTGCTGCTATGGTGCATTGTGCTGCTAGTATGCTGGCAGCCGCCTTCCATGAATCTTCCCCCCAGCAACCACCTGCAGCTGCCGCTGTATCAGCACCAGCTGCGCAATTACGAGGGGACCGGCGTGAAACGCGGGGAGAGGAGTTGGGGCGGTGGGGGCGCCGCGCGGCCGATCATCCTGACGGCTCATGCGGCGCCGATTGCGGCGACGGACAACTTCGCGACGCCGTGCAGTGAAGAATCCACAAGTAGGGGCCGACTTGGAGATTCGCCGCGTTATAAGCTCGATCAGTACTGCTACAAATACCACGTGTAGTAAGAGTACTAGTAGCAGTTGTAGGAGCAGCTGAAGCAGCTGGGAACCCGAGGGAAAAAAACAGTCCGAGGCTAGGAGCCAACGTACGTGGCGCGGCGCATTCTTTTGTGCCGAGTTGTCATAAGCAGACGAGGCAGTCTGAGGGTAGTAGTAGAGTGACAAATGGGGGGTATCGAGTATCTATCCCAAAATTTATCAAGCCAGAGTCGCGTGGACACTGGTTGCACTCCCACACGCCTTCTTGTTAGAAGTCTTAAGTCAGGAATCACAGGTGCCATCGAGACTTCGATCCGCGCTCGTGCTCAGATGCTCTTGCCATGCCGCCTCCCTCAGGTGCTCGTGTTTCTGGTGCTCGTGTTTCCATCCCCCACGTGCCTTCAACTCCTCACGCTCTCCCAATCCCTCTCCGCCCCGCTCCCCTCCCATTTACCACCCCGGTTCTCCTCTCCCTCCCTCCCCCCCAACCCCCCCCTGCCGCCTCCCCCTCTTCCTCTCCTCCTCCCCCCCTTCCCCCACTTTCGCCCGCTTTGCCCGTTCTCTCCCCCCCCTCTCCCCCCCGCCCCCGGGCCTGCAGTATTCGAGCGGTGGAGCGACCCGGCGACGTGGGGGGGCGGGCCTATTCCGGGGCAGGGCGAGCAGGCGGGCGCGAATGTGACTATCCCATGCGGCAAGACTGTGCTGCTCGACATGTCGCCCGTCGTGCTCACTCTCCTGCACATACAGGGCGTCCTCATGTACTCCCCCCCTTCCCTTCCCCCCAACCCCCCTCCCTACCTCTCCTCTCTCTCTCAAGCGGTCCGTTGATTCCTTTGGAATCCTGGGTACAGGCTAGGCAGGCGGAAGGCAACAAGGCAAAGGTACGTGCATGTTGGAGGTGCCCGAAACTACTCAAGCTCCCCTAGGGGCTCTGCTACAGCAAAGCAGTCCCCTAGAGCCATGTCGGCGTCGGGGGTGCCCACGGGGGTGTGGGGGGTAGGGGAGGCTTCGTTAACTTTGCCCAGGTAAGCCAAGGCCTGCGCCCGCTGGAGCGTCACAGACCAGCGCTGGCGGAACTGGTGGAGCAGTTTTGCTGCTTGGTAGGAGCTGGGGTCCGCATTGAAGAGCCTCCTGACCCCTGTGTCTGCCAGCAGTTTCAGGAAGGTAGGGACTTCGGCGCAGGGGCAGCCGTATGTCTCGACCGCCAGTGGGAAGAAACCAACGTAGGGAGCCCGGTTGCGGTAATGGTAGATCTTTTTGTCAGCTTGCTCCCGGGCCATGTATCCTCGTCCCTTCCGTGCATTTGGGTCCCGGCTGCTTATGGGGTCTGTGACGGTGACGTCACAGATCCAGACGCCGCCGGAGCTGCGGTCGCGAAGTGCGAGGTCGGCTTTGTGGCCGTCTACAGGGCTGTAGATGGTTTTCTCCTTAGTGACGATGAAGTTAGCATCCCGGGCCATCCGGATGCTCTCATCTCGCAGGGCGTCATGGGTGTCTGTCCGCCCGTGCCCGGTGCCGCACCGAAGGAGGTGGTTGGGCAGCCGTGTGTCAAGGATTTCGTATTCCTCGGCGCAGTTGCAGGTGCGGGGAGCTGGGAGCGGGAGACGGAGGCGGAAGGCCAGGGCAAAGGTGAAGTGTGGGGCTTCGAGGCGGAGGGAGGGGAAGATTGGAATGGCATGGAGCCAATCTCCTGCCCCATATCCGGCCGGGGAGAAGAGGCGTTGCGTGTGGCCGGAGTGGGGGTTTGGGTCCTCTCGAACGGTCCTTCGTATTAACCTTATAATGGGTACAAATGGCATACACTGGTGTATGAGAGACATAGGGCTCCCAGACATCCTACTGTTGCCCGGGCCACCCCTTGAAGGTAGGTTCAATTGTCGATTCAAGCTCTCCCCAGGTGAGCGGCTCGTCCATTGGACGCTCGTGGTGGAAGGCTCCCCCGGACGCCTGCCCGATCTTTGCATGCAAGGTAATGGCTTGTTGCCGCTGTAGTGTCACTGACCACCTCTGTCGGAATGAATGTATCAGCTTCTTGGTCACCGCGGACTTTTCGTCTGCATGGTGATTCTCCCGGGCGGCTACTACCGCCAGCAGGCGGAGGAGTTCCCTGGTGTCGCTGCTGCAGCACTCGTATGTCTCCATTGCCACCCCCAGGACTTTGACGAAGGTGAGTCTTTCGTCGTATAGGACCCTTTTCTTCTCCTGCATCTCAGCCGCCATCCATCCTGTCCCCTTCCTTGCTGTTGGGTCCCGGGAGGAGATGGGGTCGGTGACGGTGACGTCGCAAACCCATACCACGCCTGTTGGGTCCTCTCTCTCTCAAGCGGTCCGTGTATTTTTGAAACCTGGGTACAACTAGGCATCGGTTGGCGAGAAAGGTGAGTACATACGCCTACGCCTACAGTGTGCCTATGACCACTCCAGGACCGGCTCGAGGACCGCGAAGCAGTCCAATGGAGAGAGGCTCTCCGCAGGTGAGCCGATGGGCGGGTGTTCCGCCTGGGCCGCTTCGTTCACCTTTTTGAGGTAGGATGCGGCCTGGCTCCGCTGGAGGGTGCAGGACCAGCGCTGGCGGAACTGGTGTAGGAGCTTAGCCGCTTGGTAGGTGGCTGGTTCTGCATTGTAGAGCTTCCTTGCCGCCGCCTCGGCTAGAAGCTTGAGGAAGGCCGGCACCTCCCAGCAGGGGCAGCCGTATGTTTCGACTGCCAGGGGGAAGAAGCCGACATAGGCCGCCCGGTTTTTGTAGTGGTCAATCTTTTTGTCCGCCTGTTCCCTTGCCACATATCCCCGCCCCTTGCGGGCCGTGGGGTCCCGGTTGCCGATGGGGTCTGTGACAGTGACATCACAGATCCAGACTGCTGCTGTTCCGCGGTCTCGGATGGCGAGGTCTGCCTTGTGGCCATCCACGGGGTAGAAGATGGTGGTTTCTCGGTAGACGATGAAACCCGCGTCTTGTCCCATACGGATGCACTCGTCGCGTAAGGCATTGTGGGTGTCAGTACGCCCGTGACCGGTACCGCAGCGAAAAAGGTGGTTAGGGAGCCGCGGGTCGTCGATCTTGGTGCGGTCTGTGCAATCACAGCGCCTCGGTGTGGAGAAAGGGAGGCCTAGGCGGAATGCGAGGGCTATGGAGAAGTGGGCGGGGGCGAGGCGTAGTGACGGGAAGAGGGGGATGGCTTGTAGCCAATCCCCGGCGCCGTAGCCCGAGAGGGATAGCATGCGCTGGGTGTGGCCCATGTGGGGGTTGGGAGCCATCTCTCGAGTTGCCTTGACCTGGTCGGCGTACCGGTGGCCTTGAACTTCCAGCGCCAGGCGGTGCTGTAGCGGCTTGTCAGTTGGCTCGATACGCTCATTCTGGAGCAGCAGGCGTGCGGGAGGCGGGAGTTCTGCCTCCGCCTCGGCCAGCCATGAATGGTAGGGAGCAGGGCTGGTGAATGGCGGGGCGAGTTGGGCGGCTGCTAGCGCGAGAGGTGTATCGGGTGCTGGCCGGAGGGACGTGAGGAGCGCATGGCTGAGATGGACGCTGGATAGGAAGGAGTACCCGCCTTCCACTAGCGGGTCCGTGATGCCGATCCCTCCCAAGGATGGGGGCAGAGAGGCTTGTGCCCAGGTGCGTGCTAGCTCCCTCTCCCCCCGCGGCAGGCGCAGACCGCAGGCCTTGAGGAGGGTGTGGAACATGCCTTGCCCCCATGCCGTCCACTCCTCCCCCGGGAGTAGCTGCAGGGGGGTCGTACGCAGGAGGTAGGATACCCGCCTGCTGATGCAGCGGGACAGCAGGAGAGCGCTGATCTGCGGGTCCATGGCGGACAGTAGGGCTAGCGGGGATGTGAGGGTGGTTATGTGGGATCGGAGGAACGCCTCTGCGCCGCTTGCCGGTCCGACGTGACTACCCAGGACCCGCAAACCGTCGGCTGTAAATGGGATGTTCGGAGGGAGCTCCTGTGCTGGCGGTCGGTTGCGTGCCCAGGCGGCACACTTGGCCGGATTGTGAGTCAGGCCCAGCGGGCGCAGCCCTTCTGTGAAGTGCCGAAAGGCTGCGGAGCATGCTGTCGGTTCCCCCGCGAAGGTAACGTCATCCGCGTATGCTAAACAGAGTACGTGCGGGAAGGCGCCGGCCGTCGCCTGGAGAGCGGGGTGCATGCCCGCAGCGAAGAGGAGGGGGCCGAGAGGGTCTCCTTGACGGACGCCTCGTTCACTCCGTAGTGGCGGACTGTGGAAACCGGCGTCCAGGAAAAGCGCGGACGGCCGGCCGTAGGAGAGGCGGGCCAAGGGCAGCAGCGGTCGGAGCGGGGAGGATGCCAGCCCCTCAATGATGGCCCGGCGTTCAATGCTATTGAACGCGTTAGTGACGTCAACTTGTATGATGAGGGACTCCGGCCGGGCAGAGGAGAAACTGCGCGTCGAATGGACGACGGTCTCTCCTCCGCCCGGGATTGCGACCCCATATTGCAGGGGCAGGAAATGCCCCCGCGCGGCCTCGGTGATGGCGGTGAGGCCGCATTTGGCGATGACGCGGTGCAGGCACTCACCCACAGCTATGGGGCGAGTGCCGCCGTCTGGCTTTGTCAAGGCCAGGAGCCGTGAGGGGGTAAGGAGATCCGCGACTTCGTCCGGTAGGTCTCCACGCATGGCACTGGTGACTATGGTGTATAGATGATCCGCGACTGCTGCATCTGCGAAGGCTGCATCTCGCAGATGTTCGAAGGTCATACCAGATGGCCCTGCGCCCACGCCACTCTCTCTCTCTCCCTCTCTCTCATTCTCGGGTTCTGCCCTCTCCCTTTCGCACACACACGCACGAGCACATGGCACGCCCTCCTCGATTCGCCTCTTCCAGTTTGCTGCTCTTCAGCCAACGCACCTTCCGACTGCCCTCCACTCCACCTCCACCTCCACCTCCCTGTTTTCTTGCTTAAATCTCTCCATTTCTCTCCCCATCCATGCGTCCCTCTTTTACCTCCAGTTGCCCGAACCTCTAGTCCTCCCTATCTCCACGCCCCCCTTCTGCTTCCACTGTTCCTCCTCCCTTGCCCTCGACTCAACTCTCCCAACGTCACATTATCCCCTCCCTTCCCTTCCCTCCTTACCTTCCCTTCCTCCCCCCTCTCTCCCCATTTCCTTCTCCCACTCCTCTCCCCCTCTCCCCCCTCGCCCTACCACGCACCCCCTTTCTCCCTCACTCAGGGTCCAGGACGGCCCGTCTCTCCCTCTAGTGCAGCTCAACGCGTCCTTCGTGCTGCTGCAGGGCCGCCTGGCCATCGGCGCGCAGCAGCAGCACTTCTCGCAGCGGGCTGTGATCGCGCTCACTCCCAACCCCAATGCGCGCGCGCCGCTACTCTTCTCCTCCGCCGCGCCCGCGGACGAGAGGAATCCGCGCAACCTTGGGCACAAGGCGCTCGCAGTGGTGGGGGGGAGGGGGGTTTGGGGGGGGGGGGAGAGGGATTGTGGGGGGTGGGGAGAAGGCGCTTCGTGTGCTGTGTGCATGGGTGTGTGCTCTGTTGTGTTCTTGCCCTCATTTTGTGTGTGTCTGTGGCAATTCTCAGATACCCCCACCCACCACTCCTCTCCACTCCCAACTTTACCAATCCGCCCTACCCGTTTCCCCTCCTTTTCCCCTCCGTTCTCCCTCTCCTCCTGCCCCCCTGTCCCCCTGTCCCTCTATCCCCCTGCCCCCCTGCCCCCTCTCTCCGCCCCTCTCCTTCCCCGCCACCCGCTCTCCACCCCCCCCAGATAGGAGGCCAGTTGGACCTCCACGGAATGCCGGGGGGGGCCTCCACCCCCTCCTGGTGCCAGCTGGCAAGAACCGCGCCAGCTGGCACCGCGTCGCTGCTGGTGGACGCTGACGTGTCAGCGTGGCCGGTGGGGGGCTTGATAGCGGTGTCGTCCACTGACTACAACGCAGAGCAGGCAGAGGAGCTGAGCATCACCGCAGGTGAGGGGGGTAGAGTGGAGGGGAGGAGTGGGGGGAAAGGTGAGGGTATGGCATGGGGGAGAGGAGCAATGGGGTGGTGGCAGGCAGTGACGTCCACTGACTACGACACAGAGCAGGCAGAGGAGATGGGCATCACCGCAGGTGAGGGGGGCTTGGGGACAGGGATGGGAGAGAAGGTGAGGGAATACGAGGGTGTAAGAGGGTAGGTAGGAGCAGCAATGCGCTGGTGGCAGTGTCGTCCACTGACGTAGGGCAGGCAAAGAAGCTGAGCATTGCTGCAGGTGAGCGCGTGTTTCAGAGTGGTTACCGCATGGACTCATCACCAACCCTTCTCTCCCCTCTCCCCACTCCCCCTCCTCCCCTCTCCCCCTTCTCCCCTCTCCCCCTCCTCCCCTCTCCCCATCCTCCCTCCTACAGTGACCACCTTCCCCAACGCCACCTCCCTCCTCTTCATTTCCCGCCCGCTTTCCTACCCTCACTTCGGGGACCCCCTGGGCGCGCCGGACAGGTTTGGGGGGTATATTAACGAGCAGGAGGAGGTGTCGCTACTGTCACTCATAAATTTGGCACTCTTTTGCGAACTCTTCCTCTCTCACGGACCTACCACCAACTCTCCCCTCCCCCCTCCTCCCTGCTCCCCCCCCTTTTTCCTCCCTCCCCCTTCCCCCCTCTCCCCTCCCCCCTCCTCCCTTCCCCCTTCCTCAGTTACCACCTTCCCCAATGGCACCTCCCTCCTCACTCTCTCCCGCCCGCTCTCCTACTCCCACTTCGGGGACCCCCTGGGCGTGCCGGACGGGTTTGGGGGCTACATAAACGAGCGGGCGGAGGTGGCGCTACTGTCACGCACCGTTACAATCACATCAACGCCAGAAGCCAGCCCCTACGAGAAGGAGGGGGGCCACGTGTCGGTGTATTTCACGCAGAGGGCGCAGGTGGTGGAGGGGGTGGAGTTCAGTGGGTTGGGGCAGGAGGGGCTGGAGGGGCGGTTTCCTTTGCATTATCTGTTTCATGGGAAGCAGCAGGAGGGAGGGGGAGGAGGGGAAGTGAGTGTCTGCAGGAAGAACTCGTTTCACCACACCAAGAATGTGAGTGGTGGTGGTGATGGCGCGGTTGCCTGGAACTTTACCTCGGATCACGTGTGAGTGTGATTGTCACCCTGGAAAGAAATACCCACTTTCTGCTCACCTTACCATCCATCCTCCCATCCCTCCCCCCGCCCCCCCCTCCCCCCCTCCCCCCACCAATCCCCTTCTCACCCCTCCCCCCTCTCCACTCTTTCCTCCCCACCTTTCTTCCTCTCCCCTTCTCTCCCGATCTGCCACCTGGCACTGCCTTGTTCTTACCCATGGGTTGGGTTTGAGGCGCTTCAAAGCCCTGCACTCCACCGTCCCACCCGCCCTCTCACCATTCCTCCCTCATCCCCACCCTTTCGCTCCACGTGCTCCACATTGCTCTTCCCCCCCCATCCTCCCCTTCCCCCATCACCCGCCCTCCGTGTCCGCCTTCCTCCATCCCCCCTTCTGGCTTTCCGCACTCCCCTCCCCCCCAACCCCCCCCCCCCTTCCCCCTCCCCCTCCCACCAGCGCTGTGTAGTGCTGACGGCGACGAGCGGCATGACGGTGGACGGCAACGTGGCGTATGACACGCGTGGGCACTGCTTCGTGCTGTCGTCCGGCAGCGAGACCCGCAACACGCTCTGCAACAACCTGGGCTTCCTCACCAGGCGAGGTGCGTGGAGGAGGAAGGGAAAGGGGCGAGGGGGGAGCGGAGAGTGGGAGGGGATAGGTGCTGCTTGGGACTGGAGGTGGTTGGGGAGTTGGAGAGGCAAGCTGAAATAGTGACGGCAAGGGGTGGTGGATGTGCGAGGTGAGCGCAGAGCATCCACAGACATATGTGTGATATATGTTCCCTTTCCTCTCCCCTCTCCTCCCCTGCACTTTCAGGAACCCTCCATCCCCTTCCCCACCTCCTTCCCCCACCCCTCCTCTTTCCCCACACCCTTCCCCCTTGTCCCCCTTCCCCCCTCCCCCTCCCCCCTCCCTCCCCTTCCCAACCCCAGCGTCCAAGGACGTGTCGGGCATGCATGACACGGGCAACCCCGCCACGTTCCTTCTCACCAACCCGGACAACGACTTTGTCAACAACACTGCCGCCGGCTCACAGGCCGCAGGGTAAGTGTCTGTGTCTGTGGGGTTGCTGGGATGGACGTGCCGGGGGGTGCCAGAGGCTATGAGACATCTGCATTTGGGAGCATGCAGGGAGGGAGCATGTGCATTTGGGAGCATGCAGGGAGGGAGCATCTGCATTTGGGAGCATGCAGGGAGGGAGCATGCAGGGTCAAAGTTTTGCCGAACTCTTCATCTCTTGCTGACGTCTGCCATCTTCTGTGGCTGGGCTGTGCACACCTCCAGAACACATCACATCCCCAGTGAGTCCATGACATTGTCAATACCTACCTATTCCACCTTCAACCTTCCACCATTCACGAGTACTCCCCAACACGTCTCTCCAACCAGCCACACCTCCCTTTACGCATCTCTCCCCACCCTAACAGCTGTTTACAAGGAAGAAGAAAAAAAACAGCTCCCAAACTCTTCACAGTGTCACATTCCCCATGCTGGTGCCCACCGCCCACAGCTCCTTTGAGTCTTACCACTCCCCTTCCCCTACCGCCCCCTGACTTCCCGCATTGGGGCGTGTCGGGCCTATCAGCTACTGTCCTGCCGCCCAATAACCTGCTGCTTCCACCCTCCCTTCCCCCCCTCACTTTCCCCCCTCCCTCCCCTCCCCCACCCCTCCACCCCCCCCATCCCACCCCCCCGCCCCCAGAGTGTGGTACTACCTGCGGTGGGGAGTGTCCGGTCTGCCCGCCACCATCCCCTCGCTCTACAACCTGTTGCCATTCTTCACCCCCTGGGGCACTGTTTCCGGATGCACCTTCCACTCCAACGGCCTCTGGGGCCTGCAGGCGTACCCCATGGGCGCATACCCCCGCCAGGGCGCCTTCAGAAACTTCTCCTCGGAAAACCCCGTGAGTTGTTGGAGTTGGGCCGTTGTTTTCTTCCCTCCCACCCAGAAACGCGCCCCCAATCGCACCTGTAATGCACCTGTAACGCACCTGTAAGTTGTAACGCACCTGTAACGCACCTGTAGCGCACCTGTAGCGCACCTGTAACGCACCTGTAACGCACCTGTAGCGCACCTGTAACGCACCTGTAACGCACCTGTAATACACCTGTAGCGCACCTGTAACGCACCTGTAACGCACCTGTAGCGCACCTGTAACGCACCTGTAACGCACCTGTAACGCACCTGTAGCGCACCTGTAACGCACCTGTAACGCACCTGTAGCGCACCTGTAACGCACCTGTAACGCACCTGTAATACACCTGTAATACACCTGTAATACACCTGTAACGCACCTGTAACGCACCTGTAACGCACCTGTAGCGCACCTGTAGCGCACCTGTAACGCACCTGTAACGCACCTGTAACGCACCTGTAACGCACCTGTAACGCACCTGTAACGCACCTGTAACGCACCTGTAGCGCACCTGTAGTGCACCCGTAGTGCACCTTCTACTCCAACGGCCCGTGGAGCCTGCAGGCATACCCCATGGCCGCGTATCCTAAAATCAATGAAAGCCGCAAAAAGAAAAAGAAGAAAAAGTGTATCCGCGCCAGGGCACCTTCCTCAACTTCTCCTCGGTAAACCCTGTGAGTCATGAGAGTCGGGCGTACATGGTGTGTAGGGTGTGCAGAGGAGTGGGCAGAGTGGGCATAGTGGGCAGAGTGGGCAGAGTGGGCAGAGTGGGCAGAGTGGGCAGAGTGGGTAGAGTGGGTAGAGTGGGTAGAGTGTGAAGAGTGGAGAGAGTGGGCAGCCCACTCATTGTCTCTCTGGAGGTCAGTCATTATGCCCTTTGTTGTGGCCCGTTGAAACGGCCAACAGCAATACCTCCGCTGCTCGCTGCATGCATGCAACGTTAACAACCTAAATGCCACCCTCACGTTTCTCCCTGTCGCCCTCACCTCAACGTTTCCCCCCATCCCCGACAACCTCTACCATGTGCAGTTCAGCGTGCAGTGGATGAAGCCCATCGAGCGCGTGCTCTTCTCCCGCCTCACCTTCTACAAACACCAAGGCAGCGCGTAAGACTGGCTACCTCTCCTTCTCCTCCTCCTCCTCCTCCTCCTCCTCCTCCTCCTCCTCCTCCTCCTCCTCCTCCTCCTCCTCCTCCTCCTCCTCCTCCTCCTCCTCCTCCTCCTCCTCCTCCTCCTCCTCCTCCTCCTCCCCCTCCTCCTCCTCCTCCGCCTTCCCTCACCCCTCACCTCTCACCTCTCGAGGTCCCTTTCCTCGTCCATTCTCCTGGGCACAGTCACTTCCTTTGGCTCCTCATACCCTGTATTGACATGCATACAACACCCCTCCTCCCATCCCCCTCCCCCTCTGTAGCACACACGCAGATGGACGCCTTTGATGCGTCAGTGTCGCCATGCGCGACTCAAGAGTCAAACTGACGGTCCCCAATTTCTCCTCCCTCCCTCCCTCCCTCCCTCCCTCCCTCCCTCCCTCCCTCCCTCCCTCCCTCCCTCCCTCCCTCCCTCCCTCCTTCCCTCCCTCCCTCCCTCCCTCCCTCCATCCCTCCCCCCCCCCCCCAGCACGCTGATGGACACCTTTGACGCGTTCACCATGCGCGACTCCGTCTTCGCGGACAACCAGTGGGCGCTCTACCTCGCAGAGACACAGCATGCCGTGGTCGATGGCTGCCGCTTCGTGGGGCTCTCCAACAACTACGGCGCGCCACAGGGGTGCACGAGTGCGCAGCCCTGGGACTGCGCTCCCATCACCGGCTGCAAGTGAGTGCTCTTGGCTTGGGTTTCCAGACGGCCCATTACCACTCTATCTCTACTGAGCGAGCTGTGGTGACTTTTGAGGCGCCTCAAAAGTCGTTCCCAGACGGCCCGTTACCACTCTATCTCTACTGAGGGAGCTGTGGTGATGGCTGCTGCTTCGTGGGGCTCTCCAGCGGCAGCGGTGCCAGAACGCCGCACCTCACGACTACGACACGCCTCAGGGGTGCACAAGCATGCAGCCCTGGGACTGCAAGAGAGTATGCTCTTGGGTTCTTGGGTTTTCACACGGCCCATTACCAGCCTATTTCTACTGAGCGAGCTGTCGTGGACAGCTGCTGCTTCGTGGGGACCTCCGTTACAGCATGTTGCAGGGTAGGGGACCAGGAGTGCACCAGTGCCCAGCCCTGGGAGTACGCTTCTATCACCGGCTGCAAGTTGGTTATCGGGTTGGATTGTTGTACTGCCGCAGGGCACTCCTGGGTGCAAGAGATATAGTGGATTCGGGCCATTGGGCTGGGCTGCACTCCCCGAGCCAAGTACATCACCCATACATATCATTCACCTATGTATTCGCAGATACCTGGTCCATGTTTGCCTGTGCGTTGATCGTCTCTCCTCCCTGCCTCCACCCCCGTGCCTCTTCCTCCTTCCTTCAACCCGCCTCCCTTCCTCTGCCACACCTCTCCTCTTTCCCTCCCTCGCCTCTCCAGGCTACCTCAAGCCAGCGACCAGCGAGGCAGGTTAACGGGCATCAATCGCTTCCCCTTCCCTCTGTTCAAAATAGTGTTTCAATGCTTAGCTAACAATTTTTTTTCGTTTGCTCCTCCTTCCTTGCCTTTGCCTCCATTCTACCTTCTCCACCCCTCCCCTCGCCCCCCCATCCCCCTCGATCCCCCAGACTACCTCTAACCAGCGACCAGCTGGGCAGGTCCACAGGCGGCAACCGCTTCCCCTTCCCTCTCTTCGGAATCGTGTACGACCAGCGCAACTTCACTGAGCTGGGGGACACTGCTGCGCTCGTCGCCAATACCACGTGAGTGAGACTGCTATTGGCTGCTTTGCTTGCCTGGCCTGGGCTGGTCTTGAGACGTCTCAAAACATCACTGAGCTGGGTGATACTGCTGTGCTCGTCGCCAACACCACGTGAGACTCTGCTGCTGCCGCTGCCTGCTTTGCTTGCTTGGGCTGTGCTGGGCTGGGCTGGGCTGGTTGGCTAGTCACTGAGCTGGGGGACACTGCTGCTGCGCTTTTCGCCAACACCAGGTGAGACTGTGCTGTTGGTGGCTGCTTGTGCGCTTACCTGCTTCTGCTCACTTTCTCGTCCCCCACCTCACCCGTCCCCCAGCCCAGCCCACCCCCCTTCGCCTATCCCCTCCTTTCCCTCACTCCTCTCTTTCCGCCTCTTGTCCCTCCCGCACCTCTTGTCCCTCCCGCGCCCCTCTCGCCCCTCTCTCCCCTCTCTCCTCCCAGGTTTTTCAACTACGATGCCACGTGCCGCATTGCTGCGGGGTTCGCCCTGGGTCTATCCCCCTTGTACAAGGACTACTTCAACGCCGGCCAGGCTGTCAAGGTGAGGGGCCGTGAGGGGCCATGATGGGCAGGATGGGGCAAGGTGGGGCAGGGTGGGGTGTGGGAGGGTGAGGCACGGAGGGCGTGCGGGTGGGAGGAGAGGCAACTGGAAACTCTGCGGAGGTAGCTGATTGCGTGAGGGTTTATCCCCCTGACCTTCCCCCCTTCCTACAGAGGCTACTTTAATGCCGGCCAGGCTGGTAGGGTGAAGAGGGACCTTAGGATGGTATTGCAATGGATGCATGTATGGCGCGCTTCCTTCGCGCTTCCTTCCTACTACACACCACACCTCCGGGACCTGTTGCCGCAGGCTGACCGACTGGACTGTATATCTCTTTCCATTCGTCTCCTATCCCCAATTGTCCTCTCTCTCGCGTTCTCTCTCTCCCATTGTCCCCTCCCTCTTCCCCCCCTATTCTCCTCTCTTTCTATTCCCCTTGTGTCTGCGCTGCGCCCACCTTCCGTCAGAATGTGAGCTTCAAGGCGGCCAATCGCATGTGGATACCCGGAGATACCTTCCCCTTCCTCGTGAGTCCGGCTGCCCTACCATACACGGTTGTACCATACCCCCCCTGTATCGCCTCCCGTTCCACACTACACAGCACGTTGTTACTTCACACCTCAGAAAAGCATACGCCGTGCCTCTGGGCTTCCTGCTACCTACATCTCATTTACGAGGCACCTCGATTGTTACCTAGTCTAGTCAGGTCATTCAGTCCACTCCTGTTCTCTCACTCATCTCTTGACCCCCACCTGCCTCGTAACACCCATACTGGCTCATTTCCCCCACATCCCTTGCACCACAACCCCACACCCGTCTCTCTCCCCCCCCCCCCCCCGCCCCTCTCCTTCCATCTCTCTTCCCTCCCTCTCTCCCCCCCCCCTTCCCCCTACAGGGCGGGTCCACCATAGCAACGGGAGCAGCCTCCCCATTCCTCATGCTGCATGACATAGACGGGTCCCTCACTGGCACGGCCCCCGGGTCCGTAAAGGAGGGCGGGTACGCCATAGCCAACGTCTCCTTCCTGCTGCCACCCGCCAAGCTCAAGGGCGCGCCTGTGTGCTCGCCGCGGCCGCAGTGGAATGGGTACGCGTGCCCAAAGGCGTGCTACCGGTCCGTGGCAATCTCGTACTTTGAGCCGGGGTTCTCGCCTATTAATGACTCGCCGGACGCCCGGAAGAGAGGCACCTTCAGGTGTGTGAGAGGGAAGGGGGGGGAGGGGAAGGGGTGCGGGGGAGTGCAGATGCGTGCGTGCGTGGATGGGTGTGAAGGCGTGTGGGTGTTTGTGCTTTCGTTTTGAGGTGTGGTTGGCGTTGATACGTGCCCAGCATTCAGGTCACAGGTCGGCGTTGCTCGCTCTTAAGTAGAAGCACTACCCTGGACAAAGGACCACCACTCGCCACTCCACCACTCGCTTCCTTGACCCTACCCTTGCAATCTCTCTTTCCTCCCTCCCTCCCTCCCTCCCTCTCTCTCTCTCCTCCTCCTCTTCCTCCTCCCCCTGCAGCTACCTGGAGATCGTACGAGTGGAGGACAAGGCGTCCTTCTTCCTGGACGGCAATCTCAACGTGCGCTACATGAACGTGCACGACACCACGCTCCGATACTTCTACCCCAACCTCCTCGCAGGTAACCATGCCCACCCACCCACCTCCACCCCACGCCACCCCACCCCGCCACACCACTCTCGCTCTCTACCACTGCTCAGCTATCGCTCTCCCCGTTATAATCTCTCTCGTTATACTACCCTGTCTCACCCTGCTGCACTCCACTCACCCTACCCTCCCTGCCTCTCCCCGTTTCAACCCCCCCTCCCCCCCCTCCCCCCCTTTAGCCCCCCTTTCCCCCACCTGGGCTCCCTCTACCCCCGCCCTCCCACACCCCTCTCAACTCTTCCCACCACTTTGCCAAACGTTATACTCACCTCCTTCCCTCTCCCCTATCCTCCCTTGTTGCCAAAATTCACACCCACCTTCCCCACCTTCCCCACCTTCCCCACCTTCCACCCCTTCAACCCCACTCCAGGCATGACGTACGAGATCACCATCCGCTCCCCCAACGGTTCTTCCTGGACTCCTTCGTACATCACCGCTGCGTTCCAAGATGGGGGCAGCTGCGGGCAGGGTCTCACGCTCAGGGTGCTGCCGCTGGGGCAAGGGGGGGCGGGGCCGCAGCGACAGCTGCTAGTGGGCAAGGAATCGACCTCCGTGGGGGCCATGTGAGTGGACGAGGGGGGAGAAGGGGGGAATGGGGGGAATGGGGGGAGGGGAGGGGAGGGGGGGCGGGTTGGAGGGGCCGTTTCTTAGAATATTAAAAAGAGGCTCAGGGTGCTGCCACTGGGGCCGGGGGGGGGGGGGGTGGTGGGGGGGGGTGGGGGGCAGCGACTGCTAGTGGGCAAGGAGTCGACCTCCGTGGGGGCCATGTGAGTGAGAAAAAGGGGGGGGGAGGGGAGGGCTGGGGAAGGATTGGGGAAGGGATGCGGAAGCACTGGGAGATGAGTCTTACGAAGGACGTAGAAGCTAGCTTGGTGAATCTTTATTGTAAGTGTGGCTGTTCCTGACGGCTCTTCTTGTCTTGTTTGTTTGTGTGTGTGTGTGTGTGTGTGTGTGTGTGTGTGTGTGTGTGTGTGTGTGTGTGTGCGTGCGTGCGTGCGTGCGTGCGTGCGTGCGTGCGTGCGTGCGTGCGTGCGTGCGTGCGTGCGTGCGTGCGTGCGTGCGTGCGTGCGTGCGTGCACCTCCACGAGTGGATGTGTTTCTGTCCATGTGCATGCATGCGCGAGCGCATGTGTGTGGGTGTGACTATCTGTGCATGTGTGTGCATGCCCTCATGCGTACATGTCCATGTCTCTCCTTAAACCAGGCCCATACCAGGCAACCCCATCCCTTCCACCAAGGCGCTCTACAGCTTTGTGTGTGCCGCCACTGCACCCGTGCCTGCCCTCTCGCTCACAATGGGTGGAAACTTCTCCGATATCGCCTATCTGATTCCTGTAGCTGACACTGCTGCTGCTTCGTCCTGCACGTCCACGTTCATGTGAGGCAGTGCGTGGGTGCTTTGCCATCCTCCATGCACCAAGTTCCATGCACCATGCACCATGCACCATGCACCATGCACCATGCACCATGCACCATGCACCAGATGCCGCTCCACACCATCCCATCCAATTCACGCCATCCCTTTCCACTCCACGCCAAGCCATGCCACCTGACACCATCCTACGACTACCCTAAACCTCAAACCACCCCACCGCAGGTCGTCCCAGCAGCGCAGCATCCTGTTCGCCGGCAGCGACTGGCTGTACGACGACTCGGGTCTCGACCTCTCCCCACCCTATCCCGGCGCGCGCGGCTTCTCCTCTCCCACACCGCTGCTCGCCCCGCCCGTCACAACCGTCCCTAAGAAGAAGGCCCCTGTTGTGCTGCGGTCCATAGACCCGCCTGGGGCGTGGCGCCCTGGGAAGGGCCCGTTCGGGTGGTATGCTAACTGTATGTGCTGTGCACGGAGGGGGAGGGAGGGTAGGGGACGGGGGTGGGGAGGGTGAAGGGGGGGGTGGTGGGGGTAGGGGCCGGGGGTGGGGGGGCTTTTGAGGCACCTGAAACAATTGCTGTTTTGAGGTTCCTCGAGCGTGCTTTCGAGGGGCCTGAAGATGAGCTTTGTACGGGCAGTGCGGGTTTGGACATGAGCGCTGTTGTTAACCGTGTTCTCTCTTGTGTGCTTACTTCCTCTCCCTCCTCCTCCTCATCCCCTCCTCTCCCATCCCCACAGGGAACCATCCGGCCATCGTAATGCTGCTCTCCCCGGTGTCCGCTTCCCGCTTGGTCTACTATTTCCGCACCAACTTCACCGTCACGGACACCAAGCCCTCTTCCCCTCCCCTGCATTCCCACCCCCCCCAGGGAACCATCCTGCCATCGCAACCCTTCTCTCCCCGGTGTCCCCTTCCCGCGTGGTCTACTATTTCCGCACCAACTTCACCGTCACCAACACCAAGTGCTACTCCGTGCTCCGTGTTGACCTGCTGCTCAGCGACGGAGCCGTGGTGTACATCAATGGAGTGGAGGCGATCAGAACCAACATGCCTGCAGGAGCCCTCACCAATTCCACTCTGGTGGGTATGGGGGGATGTGGGTGGGCATGGATGGGTGTGGGTGTGGGTGCGCGGTTATGAGACATCTCGGTTCGGCGTGCTTGCTGCTCACCGACGGAGCCGTGGGGTACATCAACGGCGTGGAGGCAATCAGAAACAATATGCCCACAGGAGCCCTCACGAATGCCTCTCTGGTACATGGGTGTGGGTGTGGGTGTGGGTGTGGGTGTGGGTGTGGGTGTGGGTGTGGGTGTGGGTGCATGGTTATGAGACGGCTCGGCGTGCTTGCTGCTCAGTGATGGAGCCATGGGGAACATCAATGGAGTGGAGGCAATCAGAACCAATATGCCTGTGGGATCTTTCACTAACCCGTTGCTGGTACGTGGGTGCGGGTGTGGGCGTTGGGGGACACCTTCACCGTACCCCTTGCCGTCACTGCGGGCCCCTAGGCTCTGGCAGCACCGGCGGGCGCAGTGAGCCTGGTGAAGGGGATCAACTCCGGGGCCGTGCAGTGCAGGTGCACGGCTTCCAGAGCCCGCATCCACCCTATTCACCCACCTCCCTCTCTCCCTTCCTCCCCTCCCCTCCCCTCCCCCCCTCCCCTCCCCTTGGCCCACCAGGCGCTGTCAAACCTCGAGCCCCTCACCAAGGACCCTATCCCCTACACGTCCTTCACCGTGCCGCTCGCCACCACCACTGTGGGCCCTGCAGCAGCACCGGCGGGTGCAGTGGCGCTGGTGGAGGGGGTGAACTTCATGGCCGTGCAGGTGCACGCCTTCCAGAACTACGCGTGGGAGGTGGCATTCGACATGCGCATCTACGCACAGCAGCCGTACGTGCTCGTTCGTTCACACCCCCCACCCCCCCCAACAATAGACACACACTCCTCGAATGGTCCCTCGCTCTCTCCCTCTCTCGCGCTCCTTCTCCTCTCTCAGTCTTTCTCGCACTTTGTTTCTCTAACGGCTCACTTTCTCCCCCTGCCATGCCTCCTCCTGTGCTGTGCTGTGCTGTGCTGCGCTGCGCTGCTGTGCTGTGCTGAGCTGTGCTGAGCTGTGCTGTGCTGCGCTGTGCTGTGCTGTGCTGAGCTGTGCTGAGCTGTGCTGTGCTGTGCTGTGCTGTGCTGTGCTGTGCTGTGCTGTGCTGCGCTGTGCTGTGCTGCGCTGTGCTGTGGTGTTCTGTGCTGTGCTGTGCTGTTCGTGCCTGCGTGCATGCCTGCGTACGTGCCTGCATGCGTGCGTGCGTGCGTGCGTGCGTGCGTGTGTGCATGTGCGTCCATGCAGTGACCCTAAATGCAAGGGCAAGGCAGCACGGCCAGAGACATGCGACGGGCTTGACAACGATGGCGATGGTAAGAGAAAAACAGAAGAGAACCACTATGGCAATGGCCATCATAATAATGATGTGGATTTTGAGTCTGCTATGACTGAAACTACGAAAGAACCTAGTTCTAGATCTACAATCAGAAGGCTTGCTGCCGGCCGAATCCATGCCTTTCTCATCATGATAATGAAGTGGATATTGAGTATGCCATTTCGATCATGCCACAAAAGAGAAAACCGCGTGTCAACTGTAGCACTCCTCCCCCCACCCACCCACCCCCATCCCTGTGTGACCGACTCCCAGGCAAAGTGGACATTGCGCCAAGCAAGAAGCCCATTTCTGTCCCCTGATCCACCGCCTGTGGTGTTGGCACCATTCTCTTCGCTGCTGATGGTACTCCTTTGCCCCCACCCACCCTCCCTCCTTCCACCCACCCACCCCCATCCCTGTGTGACCGTACCCCAGGCAAGGTGGACATTGGTCCGACCAAGAAGCCCATCTCGGTGCCCTGCTCTACCGCCTGTGGCGTCGGCACCATGCTCTGCGTGGACGGCGCTCTCACCCCTTGCTCTGCTCGCCAACCCGCCGCAGAGAGGTCAGTGGGGGGGGTGTGCCAAGTGCTAGCACTGCTAGCCCACGAGGTGTTATTACAACCCGAGACACAGAGGCGGGTGGATCCAGATACCTGCCTTAATTATGTTGAAGGGAGATGAGCAGAGAGGGAAAGGTGACGGCAAGGTGATGGAGGTGTGCAGGGGGTGACTCATAGACCCGGGAGGGAGGAACGCACTTAAATAGTGCCGGGCACTTTTGAGGCGCCTCAAAAGGAAGTCTCAGTTCACAGGGGGTGGCTCATAGATCGGGGAGGGAGGAGTGCGCTGAAATAGTGCCGGCCGGCTCTGAGGTAAGCAGCTCCCCCTCGCCACACTTCTTTCCCAATGCAGTGGGAGTGAGTGAGAGTGTCTCCGTCCGGCCCCCAGGGGGTGGTGCTTGTTTCAAACGCGACAGACCAGCGCTGGTGAGAGAGTGCCCGGCAAAACCGGTGGCACAAAGCGAGGCTGTGTTAGTTTTTTTAGACTTCTCAAAAACGTAACACGGTGGCACAAAGAGGGCCACGAGTACATGGAAGGAACTGGTGCTCAGGTTTAGAATTCTCTTTCTCATTCCCTTCACCACTCTCAAAACCTCCCTCTCCTCTCCTCTCCCCTCTCTCTCACCACTCCTTCCCCACTCCTCACCCCCCATCCAACACCCACTCCCTCCTGCGCCTCTCAGCTGCAATGGCCTGGACGATGACTGTGATGGGCTGGTGGACAACGCAGTGGGCGCGTCTCCGTGCGGCGAGGGCGCGGCGTGCTTCAATGGATCGTGCAGGAGCGTGGTGCTGCACGTGGGGGCCTCCGTGGTGGTGAAAGGGGGTGAGGGCGACTGGCTGTTCGCGGACCAGGGCACGAACCTGGGGTCGTCATATCCGAACTGGAAGACCAAGTGAGTGGGAGGGAATGGGGGGGGGGGGGGGTGGCAGCGTAGGCATGCTTCTGAGTCGACTGAATGCCGCAGGAGCGTGCCACACATGGGGGCCTCCGTGGTGGTGAAGGGCGGCTGGCTGTTCAAGGACCATGGAACAACGTGGGATCGCTGTACCGGAAGTGGAAGACAGGGTGAATGGGAGGGAGGGGGAGGGGGAGGGGGAGGGGCGGGGGAAGGAGAGAGTTGGGGGGGAAAGAGGGGGGGGGAGGTTTGTGGATATGAACAGCACACTCCCAAGGTCCTGCACAAGCACAAAGGATTGCACTTGTGCATGTATGAGATGCACACGAATGTAACAGACGCGCGCGCACGCGCATGAGCCTCATCTGCAAGCCGAAACGTGCACATACATGTGTGGGCGCTTGAACGCACACACTTGCTTGCAGGAGGTTTTTTCAAGTCCACCTGATTGGTTTCTTTTCTCATGCCGTGCTCCTCAATCCTATCCCCTCCACCCCCCACCCCCTCTCCTTCTCTCCTCGCTCCTTCCCTCCCTCCTGCACAAGCATTGGCGCAGCACAGCCAGTCTTGTTCCTTTGTCAGCCTCTTCCTCAGCCTCTTTCTCAGCCCTTCTGTTATCTCAACTGCAGCCATGAACCTACAAAAGAACCGCGTTCATGCGAATTAGTCAACTGGAACGCCCCAACAAACTCTCATGACTCAAAAATCCCGCTCCCATCCCCCTCATGCTCGTCCCCTCCCCGCCCCCCCCCCCCCCCCCCCCACCTTGACTTGATCCCCTGTGTCTATCCCCCAAAGTGCCGGTCTTCCTTCCGGCCTCATGAAGGCAGGCAAGGCCCCTTTTGGCTTCAACAGCGACAGCGCCGCTGCTGCTACCTATGCTGGGTTCACCACCCCCCTGGCTAACTCCGCTGGCAAGTACTGGACCATGTACTTCGTCAAGGCCTTCAACCTCTCTGCCACGCAGGCTGCCAGCACCTACAGCTATGGTGAGGCAACGAGGTGTGGTGAGTTATGGTAGGTAGGGGCACACCTTTTGTTCGACTCAACAGTCTTCCACACCACCCCCGGGTAACTCGGCTGGCAAGTACTGGGCCATGTACTTCCTCAAGCAATTCAACGTCACTGCCGTGCAGGCTGCTGACACCTACAGCGACGGTGAGGAGCACACATATGCAACATAACGACGGCGAGTGGGGATACGGGTAGAGGTTTTCTTCTTCTTCTTTTCTTTCTTTTCTTTCTATTAGGCACCTAAAAAATATACGCAGGCTGCCGGCACCTACAGCTACGGTGAGGAGCGCACATACACAACACGGGGTACTGATAGAGCGATTTAGTTATTTCTTTTAGGCGCTTAAATAATATGCGCAGGCTGCTGGCACCTTCGACTAGGGTGAGTAGCACGCCTGCACTACACATCACCACGATGGCACGCGGGTATCCTTGTACAGGTCCAGGGGTCATTGTGAGGAGACATTTGGGTTGGGAGCATTGAGGCGCCTCAAAAGGTGAGAGATGATAGATCCGCGTGAGAGAGCCATGATCTATCGCTGTAAGGACACACTTGGGGAGGGTCAAGTGGGGCCAGACCTACCTGCTGTCTCTTAGTGAGGCGTGAGAGGGGTCCCTTGGGGGTGCTTTGGTATCCAAGGTTTCTCGCCTACTCTCTTTCGTACCCCTCCAGTCACGGCCTGCTTGCGGTGGGAAGATGGCGCCGTCGTTCACCTGAATGGCAACGAGCTGGCAATGAGGTTTTCATCACGAGCCACCCTTCTTCCCTCCCTCCCGTCTCTCTCACATACACCCCGCCCCCCTTCCCACCCCCCTCCTCCTCACCTCCCTTCAGACGTGAGTGTGCGGCGGGACGACGGCGCCGTGGTGTACCTGAACGGCAACGAGATGTTCCGCACCAACATGCCCTCAGGGACCATCGCAGACGGCACGGTGGCGTCGGGAGTCACGCAGACGGACCCGGGCAACGGCAACAACAAGCAGTCGTTCTACACGTGCGGGGAGAGCTGCTACGGACGGAACATGACCGGATGGAGCAAGGTGAGTTGGTTCTCATACACCAAATAAGTGGATAATAATATCGCGATTCTGAGACGACTCTCAGCGGGAACAACAAGCAGGTGTTTTTCTCGTGCCAGGAGGGGTGATAGGGGCACACATGAGCGGATGGAGCAAGGCGAGTTGGTTTTGGAGACGTGTTTCGAGTCGGCTCAGAAGCGACTGACCCGGGCAACGGCAACAACAAGCAGTCATTCTACTCGTGTGGGGAGATCTGCTACGGACGAAACATGACCGGATGGAGCAAGGTGAGTTGCAACAAGCAGAGCAGAAGTAGAATGTTGTTACGCAACTTTGAGACGCCTCACAGAGGCAACAACAAGCAGTCGCACTACTTGTGCGGGGAGGGGTGCCACGGACGGAACATGAGCAGATGGAGCAAGGTGGGCTGGATTTTATACGTCTCAATAGTGAATCGTAATCACACGGTTCTTTTTGAGACACCTCGTAACGGGCTGGTGTAAAAAAAAAAAAAAAAAAAAAAAAAACCTCACAACGGGAAAAACAAGCAGTCGTACTACTAGTGGGGGAAGAGCTGCTACGGGCGGAACATGACCGAATGGAGCAAGGTGGATGGGTGGGTTTTGGAGACGTCTGAGAAAGGCTGGCTTCGGCTTTGCAATTGAAATGAAGAGAGGATGGCAACTGAGATGGTGTGGGGCTATATAGGAAATCACTTTTCATTATTCTCAAAGATACCCTAGCACTTTCCAGAATTTGACAGATGTCGTGTCTCAGGCTTAGAGAGCAGACGGGAAACGATTTGAGCAGACAGGTTGATTATTGCCTGCCCCTTGCCCCTGCCCCTCAAACGCCTCTCCAACACTCACCCTCCCTTTGCTGCCGCCCTCCCTGTGCCCTCCACTCCACCCCTGCACACCCCGGCATCAACTGGGTAGCAGCCGAGCTGCACCAGCTTTTGCTTTGCAACTCAAGAGAGCATCTCTCACGCCCTCCCCATGCCCTTTGCTCCACTGTGCTGACCCCACCCCTACGCAGCCTGGCATCAACTGGGTAGCAGCGGAGCTCCACCAGGCGTACCTCTGGTCCTCCGACTCCGCCTTTGACCTCTCCCTCTCCCGCCTTGGCGTCAACGACTGCCCCGCCTCCAATTCCTCCTCGCCCTCTCCTCTCGCGTCCCCCTGCATCCGCTCCACATACCGGGCACTGCTCCCGGAGGGAACGGTGTGGCGCATCAACGATGCGGCCATAAGTGTGCCCCCCACCGGATGGCACCTGCCCGCCTTCGATGACTCTGCCTGGCCCTCAGGTATGCTCAAGCGAGGACTCAACACTCTGTGTACCCCGCTTGTATTGGTGCTCCGAGACCTCTCGGATCGGAGGTATACCCCTTCCCTCGGTGTTGGTGTTCTGAGACAGGTTGAGTGCCGCGGTGGTAGAAGTGCCTGGTAGTACCATCCGTCCCTGTTCACCACACATGCTGCTGTGTTCTTTGTAGTTTGCTCTTTCCCCAATCCCATCCCCTCCATTCCCCATTTCCCCCTTTCCCCTGGTCAGGCTCTGGGGTGCTGTGGTGGTATGGACATTGGAAAAAGGTGCCTGCTGTGCAACCTTGGTCATCCGGCACTACCGCCCCTCTAAACTTTGTCTCCGATCTGCAACCCCTCTCTGCTTCCCCCCAAATCTCCCCCAAATCCCCCTTAACCAGGCCCCGGAGTGGTGGGGTCAGGGGGGTGGTGGAACATCAGCAAGTCCCTGACCAAAGCAGCCTCGGGATCGGCGCGCCGAGCCTACTACTTCCGCACGGCGTTCACGGTGCCTGACGGGCCGTGCTTCTTCAACCTCACCCTCTGGCTGCTCGTCAACGACGGCGCCGTGAGTCACCACTCAGTCACTCCCCACGGCCTCTGAGTCGCACTCACTCTCCACTGCATGTCTCCTCCTCGTGTTATAGCGCCCACCCACCACCACACGCCCTCTCCCTCCCCTTCCCCCACACTTCCCTTCCTCAACGTTTTCGAGCAAATGTGCATGGCATGCGGGACATGCCTGTCATCTCATGGACACGGCAGCCATTGTGACATCTCAAGCACGCCCAGTCCCTGTCTCAAGCCTTTCCTAGAGGGGAGAGGACTCACTGACTCACTTGGCAGCGGCACTCGCAAGGTGCATTGCGGCGTCAATGTGCACTCGCCCTTGTCGCCTACACCTAGCCACAACACATACGCAACGAACCTTGGCAACGATCAGTCCTTCAGCAAAAGCTCAACAGTGATCATCATTCCTCAACCTGTGTTCTGCCTAGCATGGCTATTTCCCACCCTGTGCCCCTCCCATCATCCCTCCTCAATTGGTCCTTCCCATCCACACTCATTCCCCCATCCAACATCCCCCTCCCCCTTTTCTCCCCCCACCACCCCCTGCTTCCCCACCCCCCACATTCAGGTGGTATATATCAATGGAGCGGAGGCCGTACGGCGAAACGTCCCCAAGGGCGCTGACTCTACCACCCCCGCGAGCTCCTGGGGTAACTGGATTTATAACCCGTATAACGTCAACGGGCAATGGCTGAAGCCCGCAGGCGTGCCGAATGTGGTGGCTGTGGAGGTGCATCTGTGGCAGCCCAGCCAGGATCTGTTCTTTGCGCTGCAGATGGCGGGGCAAAGAGAGGCTGTCACCTGCAAACCTGCTCCATAGAAATGGGTTGCTAGTTGCAACAGCTGATGGCCGCTGTTTTGTATTGTAAACAAAAGCTGACTTGTATAATATTCCTTGGTTTGTTTGTACGGTAGTAGTCCGAGTCATAAAGTCACCAATCCTAACCACTGGGACAAGAAGGGATGTCCTTAGGAGAGTTAGGCTCCATATATCCACCTTCCCCAGGAAAAGCCTCCCTAGTACCCTCCCTAGAGAGAGAAGAGGTTTCGACAGGGCTATCCCAGGGCCACGACAGTATGTTCGTCACATAGGAGTTTGCTCATGCGCTGCATTGCATGCTGTGACACGGTTCTGTGCTGGCCAGCCAGCCAGGCCAATCTCACATCACATCCCCACATCTGAGTGGCTGAAGCCTGCAGGAGTGCGGAATGTGGTGGCTGTGGAGGTGCATCTGTAGCATAGCAGCCCAGCCGGCATGGCGGGTAGGGACTTTGCGCTGCAGATGGCAGGGCAAAGAGAGGCCGGTGCCAGCAGAGCTGCACCCATATTGCATTACAGGGCTGTTACATTACCATGTGTTGAGGAGTCAGAGTTTCCTGTATTGCATTGTGTTGGGCTGAGATTGTTAAATTATATATTTGAGATATACAGTGGCGGAAAAAATTGCCCGGATGTTTGGCAATTTGAAACATATCGCTATGGCACACTTGTTTCGGAAATAGTAACACCATTTTTTTCCCGTCCTGTTACAAGGTTTTCGACTTCTGCTTCAACCGTTTCTTGCTTGGCGCGATTGTGATACAACCGAAAAGCGGGGTTGAAATTTACTCCTCGGCTGTCGATGCGGACATTTCATACCGAGCGACAGACTAGATCTATTTTCGCCCGTCACTCGGTGTGCACATCGTCACGCGCAACAGCTGCTAGTCTTGGAGTTAGTCCTGAAGCGAACATACGACCGCATCGCTATGAAGCCGGTAAATGACAAGAAGCGCGTGCGAATCATAAGCATGTTGCGTGCGGGGCATTCGCCTAGGAAAATAGCCAAAGTTCTTGGCATAGGCAAGAGCACCGTGCACGATTACGGTCTGAAAGTGGCTGCCGAGACTAGTCGCGAGGAGGTGCGACCTACGATGCCAACGGCCGGCCGCCCCCGCTTAATCGCAACCCGACTCCAGCGCGGAATAATACGAGCGATTACAAGCGGCGAGGCGAAAAGCAGTGTAGGCGCGGCAAAGATGTTGTTGGAGAAGCATGATCTGGCCGTAGGCTCGAAGACCGTGAGGAACTCGTTACGATCCGCGGGCTTGATCGCCGTGCAGCAGCCCAAGAAACCCAGGCTCTCACCGAAAAACATACGAAATCGTCTCGATTTCGCGAGGTCGCATGCCGACTGGACGCTAGAGGACTGGAAGCGGGTGATTTGGTCTGACGAGACGAAGATAAACCGCTTCTGCTCTGACGGATGTGCGTACGCCTGGATTCGCGAGGGCACCAGCCTTCGGAGCCATCAAGTCCAACAGACAGTTAAGCATGGGGGCGGTTCTGTGATGGTGTGGGGTTGCATGACGTATGAGGGGGCAGGGTTCATGTGCAAGATAGATGGCAGGATGGATGGGCCGCTGTATCGCAGCATCTTGCAAGATGAGCTCAAACAGGCGATCGATTTTTTCAAGCTCCCCCCCTCAGAGGTCATTTTCCAGCATGACAATGATCCCAAGCACAGGTCTCGTCTAGTCCAAGACTGGCTTGCGGAGCAGGAGTACGCGGTGCTGGAATGGCCGTCGTCCTCCCCGGACCTTAACCCGATTGAGCACCTGTGGGCACACTCGACGCACTGCCATGGCATCGCGCTGTCGTGGCGTCGACGTCAAGCTGTGGCGGCGTGTCGGCGTCGTCGTGCTGCCGTGGCGACGTGCTGCCAGCGCGCGTACGGCACGGATGGCAGCGGCCAGCGCCCCATCTTAGCGCTGGCCAGCACGCTCGCATGCAGCCAGCGCACCACACGGGGCGGCACGCTCCCGGGCTCCGCTGCTGAAGCCCCGCCCCCTTCCCCTGTGTCCCCTCTTCCTCGCCGCAGCCGACGGCTGACTTGCGCTGGCCGTCCCACCGTCGCGGAGCCCGGCCACACCGCTGAGTGCTGCGAGCTCCGCCGCCGCCGGCAGCTGTCGTCGAAGCCGCCGCCGTCGCAGCTAGTGCCGCTGGCCACGCCGCCGCACGCCGCCGCCGCCGCCGCCGCCGCTGTCGACGCTGCCGCCATCGCCGCCGTTGGAGCCGCTGCCCTCGCTGTCGACATCGCCGCCTCACGCGCTGAGGGGCTGACCCTGCTGGAGTAGCTGTCGCTGCTGCTGAGTATGGGGGTGCTAGGGGGTGTGTGGCTTAGTGTGCTGTGTGTGTGGTGGGCTTTCAGCTACCAAGCCTAGGGGGTGTGTTAAATTATATATTTGAGATATATATAATGGTAGGCTTGGTGGGTGTTACTGAATTCTACTGTAGAGGGTACAACCCCCCTTCTTGTATTCCTCTCTCGTCTATTCCAACTCTCTTCTCTCTCGATATTGTCCTAGCCTAAAACCTCACGCTATTCCATGGCTCCCCCTACTCCTAGCTAGATTCATTCTAGTATTCTAACAGAGATAAGCCCGTAGGATCTTTGCAAAGACTAAGTCCCCAGAGAGATGTTGTACATGTGGAAGCGTGGTGTAATGACTTAATGAACCTCTTGCATTGGTATGTGGGAATAAGAGAATTGATTAACACAAACAGCATACAAGAATATATAGTTATTCTAGAATATGGGACAGTTACTACAGCTGTTGTTGCGCTATCGAGCGTATAGCGACTCGATACCTTACAGTTGCGGTTACTGTGCAGTTGAGCTGCCACGCAACCTCCACGCGCAACCTCCACGTGCAAATGCCACGCGTGTAACTGCCACGCGCTTTGATTACATGCACAACTGTCGCGTGTAACCTCTGTTGACTTGCCGTACTCGTTGTTGACCACTCCACAGTATCGCTTAAGTCTCAATACTACAGAAACGGGTTTCTTCTCCAATTCTTTGTTTCCAACACTCCCCTTCGTTTCTGGAGTGTCGACGTGGTCGGGGCGAGTGACGTGGCGCTGCCCTGTCAGCAGCATGCAGTAGTCAAACTTAGACTTCCCAAGCTTTTTGGTCAAGTAATCTGCTGCCATCTCAGACGTGGGGCAGTAAGACAGCTCGAGTCTCCCCTTCTTGATTTCGTCTTTCGCGAAGAAGTAGTGCAGTGCAATGTGCTTCGTGCGGTTGGTGAAACCATTCTTGTTCGCAATTTGAATTGCAGATTGGTTGTCGCAGAAGAGGAAGAAACTGGGTAACGCGGCGAGCTTGGCCACTTCCATCAGCTCGGAAGGTACAGTCCTTCCTTGGTGGCTGTGCAGAGAGCCATATACTCTGCTTCAGCAGAGGAGAGAGCAATTAGCTCCTGTTTGCTCGACTGCCAGGAGATAGGCCCGGTGGGCTCTAGGCGGTAGACGTAGCCAGTTCGCGATCGTCTGTTATCAGAGTCGCCAGTGTGATCAGCATCGACATAGCCGATTAGCTTAGGCAATGCGTTCTTCGTCTTGTGATAGGTTAGGCCGATCGTTGGCATCGAGACAAAATAGTGGAGCGCGCGATTAAGTTCGGCTAGGTGCTCCGCCTCGGGCCGTTTGAGGTGGGTGGCGAGTTGGCTCGCCGAGTAGGATAGTCCAGTCGGCAGGTTACAGCGACGAAGAGAAGACAACCCAGTTTCTGCTGGTAGTCACGTAGTCCAGCGGGCGCGAGTATGGTTGAGTCCGTCATGTGGCTCGGCGCGGTGTAGCGGTACGGGGTGGAGATCGCAGCCGGGGTGAGGTCGAACCTCTTAGCAATGACGTTGGCGTGCTTTGAGCCGCACGTGAATGTACTGCTGCCAGAGCCGTGGGGCCTGCTTAAACCCGTACAAGGATTTCACAGGCTGGCAGACGAGCGTGGGATCTTCGACAAACCCGTGTGGCTGCTCTACAAAGATCTCTGCGTTGACGGGTGCGTACAAGAACGCAATTGCCATGTTGATCTGGCGTAGCGGCAAGCGATGCATGGCGGTGACTGCGAGCAGGATTCGCAAGGACGTGTGTCGACTGACGGGCGCAAAGGTTTCCATGAAGTCGCTCCCGTACTGTTGGTCAAAGCCCCGAACGACCCAACGGGCTTTGGAGCGCTCGATCGTGCCATCTGCTTCACTCTAAAGACCCGTTTTCCTGAAAGGATTGTTTTGTCGCGTGCCTTTGCGACGGGGACCATTTGCCAGGTGTTTTGCTCGTAAAGTGCCTTCAGCTCCCTTTCCATTGCTTCGCGCCATTTCTCCCTGTGCTCCTCCCCGAGAGCCTGCTTGACAGTCGTAGGCTCGAGTGGAGGTGGCATCGAAGCTCCGTGGACGGCGGCGACGAGGCCGAGAATTTGAAGTTCGCTGGGTGTGAAGCAAGGCAAGAGGGGATCCTCGGGATAGACTGCTTTGTCTCCCGCTTCTGGATCAGGTTCGAATCCGGGCCCGTTACGCTCAGAAATATTTGTGTTTACGGTCTGGGGTGTTACGTAACCGTTGTTGGCGAAATGGTAGTATGCCTCGGCATTCGCGCTTTCTCTTGGATCCTCGTCATCCATTAGGATAGGAACGGAGCAGTACAGAAGAGGTCCAGCAGCTTCCGAAGCTCCATCGACGTTTTGCTCATCCCAGTCAGTTTCTTCTGCTGATGAGGCGAAGGCTCGGCTGCCGTTGAATCCAGCAGTAGGGTCCCGGTCGGCTGCGATGTTGTCCAAGTAATGCTGCAAGGTGAGTCATTCGTAGAAAATCACGTCGCGTGCTGCCACTGTTTCCTTGTCGTTCACATCGAAGATTTTCTATATGTTGTAATTTTTTTCAATGCCGAGGTGCAGTCCCCACTTGGCATGCTGTGTGAATCGTCTGGCGTGTGAAGTGTGGGGCCTGTACTGTACCATGCACCCGAAAACTCGTAGTAATTTTGTGCTGCCCAGTTTTCCTGACCGCAGCAGGTGCGGTGATGCGTTGTTCGGCAGGGAGGAAGACGACAGCATGTTATGGAGCATAACGGTGTGGTCCATCGCCTCCGGCCACTGCGGGTTGGGCAGGCGCATGCCTCGGAG